TGTAACTCAATAAACAAATTATTGAGTTACTTTCCACAGCTCAATGGTTAATCCTGTTTTGATAACTATATCAAACTCTGGGAAAAATATAATTACTTTTAAATTAACTTCTTTGAATGTGAATAAGGGTAAATATAATTGCAGTCAAAAGAGAACATTTTATTAATATCCAAACGCAATTTGTTAAAGTGTTACAAAGGAATTCGACTAAAATTTATTTAAATCTAGGTCAACATGTTGAAAATATTATTCTTATTTGTCTTAAAATGTTCTGATATACCCCTGATTTGTTTAAACTATCTTGAGAACAATTTATATCTTATTATATTATATACAGTTAATCCTGGTATGTTTCATTCTATATCTTATGTTTATTATTGTTTCAGTTCATTTTCGCCTGCTTCCTGGCCCTCGCTGCCGCCAAACCCGGAGTACTCGCCCCAGTGGCATACACCGCCCCCGTAGCTGCGGCGTACACAGCACCCGTGGCGGCCGCGTACACCGCTCCCGTCGCATACACCGCCCCTGTTGCAGCCTACTCAGCGTACACCTATGCCTCCCCATACGCCGCCTACTACTTACGTCGTTAAACACCAAAGAAAATAACAAATATGAGAGACTACCTACCGACTCAGATACATAAGTCTGAATAAAAATTATTATTTAAGCACTTTAATAGTTTTTCTTATTATTTTTAATTAAAAAACCCTGAAGGTTTTAGAGAAGTTGGTTTATCGACATAAGCCAAATGACCTATTTTTAATCTCAATTATCATTATTAACTGGTACCCCGCTATCGTATACTAATAGCACGGACGGAATTACAATTCCATTTTGATCCCATAAAAAAAACTATAAATTACATCTATTATGGTCGAATGCTACAACAATACGATAATAAAAAGGATTATTCTAACTCTATGATATTAATTTAATGCAAGCGCTTATTGTTAGTGACAGTCCTACATGATATATTTATCATTCGGGATATAAGGTAATCCTATTAAAATTTGATATGTCTATGAATAACATAATGCTCTAAAACCGAATTTCAAATGCATATAAATTGAATACGTATCTAATCAACTACTTATTAAAGTGTTACAGACACTTATGAACGCTGAAAAAAAAAATTAGTCTTTCTCAAACATGCTTGGAAATGTGAGCATTATTTTGACAATCTTCTTCGAGATAAATCAAACTTGCCGTGCTGGCCAAGATACATACGGGCAGCGGCCGGCAAAATTTGTATGAAAATCCATATCTGTCGTGTTTTGCGACCAGATAAATTACTATGTAAACTCATATCTGTCCTGTAATTTAAAAATGAAATGACCTTTTACTTCGAAACATGGCTACCAAGGAGGAAACTAATACAAGGTTTTATTTAAATTTAGAACTGGCTTGCAAATAGAAAGCTGTTTATTGAAAAAAAAAACAAGGGAACATTATGGCGCGTGAAAAATTATTATTGTTCGTTATTCGTCATTGAACTTAAAAAGTAAAATTGTGTTTTTGATTTCCGCGCATTGTTTGAGAAAAGTACTATACAAGCTTTGGCCACAACTAGGCATTGATAGACACACGTATGTGTGCTTCGGCTACGCCTAGGCCCACATTTGTACGTTCGTCCATCAATGCCTCAGTTGCTGGCCTCTGCAGTAATGTACTATAACTAATTAGACTGTAACGAGAAAATTTACATAGACAACATTGCTTTTTATATTTTGCAAGAAACCAATGTGTTTGTGGCGCTGAAAAAAAATTTCAAGAAACTTTAGAAGAAATATGATACGTATAAAATATTTGTACTTGAACTAAATTATAGTATGTGCGTATCTGGTACCTGATTAAATTACGTACGTTGATTTATCATTTGTCGAAGACATTTGTAGTACAGGTTAACTTAAGAGAGTTTTAACCACTTATATACATATATTGACATGAACATAGATTGAGTAAATTAAAAAAGTAAGTTTAAATACTAAATAAAAATCAACTATTAAAAAATCACACTCTAAAAAGAATAAAACGAGAAATATTTTCATCTGAAATAAATGTGTACAAACTATTTAATATTTATTATCTATCTATCTATTAAATAACTTATACGTAATATGTTTTAATTTATTTAATACATAAAATGATGTTTAGAGGGAAGCGTGAATGATCACGGCTATCCTGTGATGATATTTGAATACCATCTGATACATATGGTCATATAGCGTCTTCTAGATATATGTATATAGAAATTCATCCTGCTAGATGAATTTGCCCTAAAGCTTATAATCGGTTTTTTTAGGATAGGTGGCATACGACCACAGATATTTTCTGAACATCATTATGAATATGTATTAAATACATCACGTATACATTAAAATATATTTCGTGTAAGTTGTCTATTTATCCAGGTGGTTCTGGGTCGTTCCTTTTGACAGACATGATGATGACGATAACTTCATTTATTAGACAATAAATATTGACTATCTTGTAGAAGTTCTACATATCAAATTCAGATGTAAATGAAATATTTTTTTGTTTCATACTTTTTTGATAATGTTCAGTATCTTTTACCTAAAATCAGTAAAATGGTTTAACTATTAATACAGAGTCAACAAATTTAATTGAATCTATTTAATTCTCATAGGTACATGATTTTAGTAGCCATCACAGTAGCTAAAGTTTAAGTAAATATTTGCTGTTGGAATCAAAATGCGCTGTAATTGTTTTAATTATTTAATTTATTCTACAAAAATGAGAAATTTACGGTGGCCAGTATGAAAGTTGATGGAGGAAGCGAGAACGGAAACAGATCGCCGTGTTGCAATGCTACATTAATCAGTGTTTCCATATACAAAATTTACATTGTTAGTTTATGCTTTTAGAATAAAAAATATTTTCTGTTAAGATATAATATTGGATCTTAACAGTTGCTTAAGGTTTGCTAACTATTTATCAATTAATAGATTGAAGATTTCATTTAATGTTACTAATTGTATTTAATTGCATATAAGGTAATAACGATACCTTACACACAACTAAGCACAACTTACAAAATAGTACAACAAGTCCTGCGTACTGGTTGTTTCAGTCAATCCATTCAAACTTTAAATTAAAAGTAAAAAAAAAAGTTAACAATACCTTAAGTATGCTCTATGATTTTTTTCAATATAAAGCAGTTGTCTGTTTTGTATTAGAAAATAAAAAAAACATACTAAAATTATTATAAAAAATAAATACAATATAATAATGTCCGAAAACATTAAAAAAATATAACTTAAAGTCATTAAAATTTTTTGTAATATGATCAATAAAGAATAAATAACTAATAAAAGTCACAGTATTTATCAAATAAGCGACTATGCGAGAAAATGTATTCGAACAGTGACGAATAAACCTCCAGCGGGTAAAGGGCGGTTTTAAATAAATGAAAAAAAAAACAAGCAACAAATACAAGACTATTATGGCTTCATGAAAGTAGAACTGATATGTAGTTCTAATAAGACTGGAAATGATCATACATCTTTTCTTATTAGTAGTGACAAATAGCTAATAAAATTTCATTCTTTTATATACATGTTTATGGAAAACGCGTTATACACTCCAGAATTTAACTGTATTGCATTTGAAGCAAATAATAGCATATGTAATACGAAGTAATCACATTTATAATATCGGGTATTTGGTTCATATCTGCAGATAATGTATGTTTTCTATTAGATGGACTTGCTAGTTACTAGCTAGTTAGTTTACTAACTATTTAAACGTACAAAAGATTTTAAATGGATATTGAGTAAATCAGAATATCCCTCGATTAGGAAATTCCCATAGTCGCCTTTTACAAACAGGAAAAAGGAAGAGGTAACCCATTCTATACCGGGACCGCACAGCGTGGAATATACATCAACCTATATGTATTAAAAATAATCGTCATTTAAAGTCATCAGTCAACATTAATTCGATATTGCAACATAACTATATTATATGTTACGATGTAGATGTTACTGTTTTCTACTAATTATATGCATAAGTATTAATAAGTATTGCATAGTTTTCCAACAACTCTAATTGTTGTAGACAACTTTTGATTTAATATCGTTCACTTTAAATAGGCGCATTGACCTCCAGGATTGTCGCAACTGGACTTGTAACAGCGAGCACGCACTCACTGACCTCTGACGCAACACGAAAATTGCGCCTACTGAATCCTTTATGTGTTAACTATTTTATACAAAACTGAACCAAATTGGTTTTGGCACAACTTATTTTTAAATAATAATGTAACAAAGTAAAGCAAAGTAAATGGGTACGGAAATAAAACTACAATTTCTCCGGTATGTCATGTGTGACATCTGTGGTGCTGTAAATGTTATATCTCCAAAATGATAAAAATATTAAAAAAAAAAACACTTGTTGAATAAAGCCTATTACACATTAAATGATTACTTAAATGATAAATGTGCATGGTGTTAGTCAATAATGTATGGCCTTTTAACGACCATGTAATTTTAGACATAATACATTTAAATAAATATATACATATATAAATAACAGATTTAAAAGAGTAACTATTTAGTTTCTTGTGGGCTTTTCTCAACAAATAACTACTTTCTGAATCCTGCAGTGGATTTAAAAAAAGACGATTTTAAAGTGCATGTAAACAAGTTTATTTGAATAAAGAAGATTTGAATTTAAATGTCCACAAAACTAATAAAAATCATATTACGGCGGCTTGAGTTGGAATGTTCTTACTCTACAAACTTCACTACAGGCTTATCGTTCATAATTGTCGTTGATTTGTTAAAAAATATTTTGCTAATATAATTACTAATATGATGTATCTACTATTAATAATACAAAAACAAATATCTAAAATGAAAAAAAATATATATATTGGTGTATTACTGCATAATTCTTATCATGATATATATCTCAAATTCGGTGCAACATTGGCACCGGTATGTAAACCAACCCTCGTAATATCTCGAAACTATCACATGTAGTTGGCCGATTAAGTATTTAAACTCACTATTGTAACCTCTTCGATATCAGTCTCTTGTTTACATCACAACAAGCAACTATCAACAAAATGTACAAACTGGTAAATAGAATAATAATATTTAAAAATATACATTTATAGATAGCATCTAAGTACACTTATTTGATTAAAAAATCAAAATTTCTACAATAAATTTATAATTTTAGGTGATCTTCGCTGGTCTGCTCGCGGTAGTGGCCGCTAAGCCAGGCATCCACTCTGTTGCGTACCCTGCGGTCGCAGCTCCCGTGGTCGCCGCCGCGTACACCGCACCGGTTGCTGCTGCGTACGCAGCGCCGATCGCCGCCGCGTACACCGCCCCCGTCGCTGCTGCGTACACCGCCCCCGTCGCCGCCGCGTATGCCGCTCCCGTCGCCGCCGCTTACACTGCTCCTGTCGCTGCTGCGTATGCAGCGCCCGTCGCCGCTCGTTTAGCCGCCGCCCCTGTTGTAGCAGCTGCATACAAAGCTCCTGTTCTTCTTAAGTAAAATTGAAAAGACTGATCCACTATGTTACGAAATTTGATTTTTACAAAGAAATAAAAAATATTGCCATTACAAAAAGTTATTTAATTAATTCACCAATTATTAAAATATGTAATTTATATTATATACATACACACAAAACTAAATTTGTTGTTATAATAATAGGTGATAGGTAAAGCGCTTCACCATCATTTATTACCTAACCCTTGATAAGGAAATTTCAAATATACATATATACTGCTAATAATATGAGAGTTTCTTCACGAATCTATTAGAGGGCGATACATCTCTTTTTTATATCCACATTTCGTCGATCACATTTGAGTCTAAAATAATTCGGAGCAAGTCTACTACCGTACATCGTGCCTTAAATTAATTTATCCTCATTGAATAAAACAGCGAAGACCTTTAAAATAAAAAAGGTCCTTGATATCGGCCACTAGATAATATGTTTTTATTTAAAAGCTGATTTAATTTGGATGTTTCTCCAAGAATTTTTTTAATACAAAATTACCATTATTTGAAAACATGGCATCATCATGACTGTCTTTTAACGTCATATAACCTTAACCTGTATGCATCAATATACCTGTTAAAAACACATTGTTCTAGAATGGCCCAGTAACTCATTATACATTCTTGACCACTGTCTATTGGGTGTGATACATGCGTGCCTTATTTCTACATAGGATATTAGGAGACATTTAGATAAAAAATATGTAATTAGATATAAACATTTAAATTTATTTACAAGATAAACAGCGAAACAATGACAGGTAAATAGTCTCTTCATATGTGGTTTTTATTACCGCCGATTTTGTTTTTTAAAAGCAAAAAAGATTTTTCTTATATAATTAAAATTTCATCAATACCTTAGATAAAGGTAAATCCCTTTAAAGATAATCGAACACACGAAATATTACATTATTTGACACTCATATGCTAAGCTCACACGTTAATTGTTAAGTAATAATATAAAATTAAAAGCAAAATTAAAAGATAGCGTTGCATTGAGTTATCGACATATTAAAATATCAGCTACCTTTTTTTAGTGTGCAATTAATAAAAAAAAAAAATCAAGAAATGAAAAGCAAAAAGGTAGAGATAAAATATATTATTGAGTATGCGTGGTAGAGTCATCACAAAACAATAGAACAATGTAATATGTATAAATAAAATCTGTAGTCGTACATGACTATTCGTTATCTACATGCTTCACAGAATGTTAAAGAATGCCAATGGTGTACGATATTACAAACAATTTGTTTTATTCTGACAAGGGATTTTTTTTATTGTTTCACTTAATAGTTTTTATTTGAAAACGTACATATTGACATTAGCTCATCTTTCAATGGTTGTAGATTCTATTCCCGTACAACACAAACAGTTTTTTATTATTCGTTTTAATGTTTTTTAATACTTTTTTTTTTAACTTTTGCTTTATTGTGCCGTGGAAGTCAGTCAGGGAGATGGTGCGTTAGCACTGATGTAACAGTCAAATTACTTTTTACTGAATCTATCTATTCTAGGAATGAAAAGACTCTATCTAACCAATAAAACCTAATTATACTCTGTTTTATTTTTAATAAATGAAAATGATTAAGAGATAAGAGGTGAAGGCGATTTAGGCTAATCGGAACATCCTGACGAATTAAAAAGGCAGTAATCTCTACAGATCGCATAGGGGACGGTATAAAAATGGACCTGTCAAGATATATTGCAAAGAATGGGATCACCAGAATCCAATAGTGGCCATTTCCTCTTCTTCTTCTATTTATTTGTAAGCAAAATACTTGAAAACGGCAGGATAAAATTTATCTTTATTTTTTAATATTGCGATAGTGTCATTAGGAGGAAAGAATTTGTTAGCAATGTACCAGGACAACCTACACACGGTACTCTTTGAAAACTATCGTAGACAAGCCTTGTTGAACTTGTCAGGATGAATCAGCTCAATATCATCTGTCATCTTTCATTGTTAGCGTACACTGACAGCGTAGATGTAGAGTATCATTCCATTATCACCCATTAAAAAAATTATGCGATATTATTATAGATTATTGGTTATAGAGAAAGTAGGGAAATAAGATTTTTTCAAAATAATGTCATTCAAAATTTATAAATTTTAACAAACAACATCCATTAAAAGTAAAATTACTTTTAAAAATAGTAAGTGGGTATCATAATGAATATTCATCAATCTTGTAAACGCTTCGAAAGAGGATACGAATTCTTTACATTTTCGAGATATATGCAAATTAGTCTTGTCACTTTAAGGATGCAGACCTGCTTTGTAACCGGCTTAATAAATAACTAGATCTTAAATATGGGTATTATCTGTTGATTGAGTCTTCGTTAACGAACTTTGAACACCTGGAGTGTTCGAAGTTCGTTAACGAAAACTAATACAAATTTATAAAAAAAGTATATTTTACTTTGCAAAAAAGAGATTTCAATTATATTTAATCTGAAGTTAGAAACACACCGGTAAAGACAAATTATATTGAAAATATTTCAGTCTAAATTTTGCTTCGCAACAAGCAACCTTTTGTTCTGTAAAGAAAAACGGTAGCTTCAAACGACACCAAATTAATATGGGACTCCCGTGTTGCCTATTCATTACAGAAAGCAATTTGTAAACATCGATTCAAAATTGGCTACGTAATCGCGTAACATAATCGCAAAATAAATTGCGGAAAATTAAAACCCCTTCTTTTTCCAGTCACACTAGTAAAATAGTTTTTGTTTTATTTAGAGTATGCCTACAATCATTTCTACTCTACTCCCTTAGATTAATATATGTGTATATATATGTATATTATGCAAAACTACAGTATTTTCATTTCTAAAAACTCTAAAAAATGTGATTAATTGTTAAATAATAATGATGTATTAAAAACTACATTTATTTATTACTTTAATTACGATTGTTAAATTCTTTTGGTTTATGATTATGCAAACAATCTGCTCCAGTTACAAAAATATCGAGAATTTGGTCAATTTTGCACCTTACGTATATATATATATATATATATATATATATATATATATATATATATATATATATATATATATATATATATATATATATATATATATATATATATATATATATATATATATATATATATATATATATATATATATATATATATATATATATATATATATATAAGATGCTTAACGTTAAATTTGTTTGCAATCAATCTAGAAGGGCTGTTTACTTATGGTATATACATCAGTTAAGTACATTATTATTATTACATCTGTGCTTTTTTAAGGAATAAAATATAAAGATGCGCCCCACAAGTACTAGACTAGACATACGAGTATAACAATGGAGTACCAGTATAAGAAGAACGTGAGGATGAAGTAAACTAAGTTAAGCAATCATAATTAATTCAACGGAAAGGAATTACGATAGTTTTCACAGGTGATAGCGTGGAGGTTGATCTGACCGTATCTATTGTTAGTAATGGAAGATAGTGTCCATATTACTAATAATTTCTTTTTCTACTACATCTATATCATGTCTATCATATATAGACATGATATAGAAACACCAACAAGATCGAGACCATAATATTATTACGGGTGTATTATATAACATCAGGTGATTCGAATAACGATCTTAAATCGTTCGAACTGGTTTCGTGACATCCAACGGTCATGGTCACTTATATTATGCACATGACCGAGGTGATAAATTACTTTGAAAACCGGTAAAAATTAGGAGTATGCCATGCTACGAAAATCGTAATAACATAACCGAATATATAGTAGTACCTATTGATTATATAATACCTACTTATAGGTTAATAATAGATTAATATATTTATGCGCCAATTAGAAAGATTATTGGGAAAAGCCTTGAATAAATATGGAGTATATAATTATAGATAAATATTTGTTAAGAATAACATAACATTGTCTGTGTAAAATTAATGGAGATTTGGGACTACTTTGAGCTAAATATAGGACTTCCTTTTGAATTCCACATAAATATACATTTACTTAGCGGTATAATAAAACGCAGTATCTGACTACCGAAAGCATTAATAGATAGACAGACGAGAAAGGCAGATTTTGTTTTGTGTTTCTATTTTCAATACGTCAGATGTATCTTTGCAGACAATAAGACGCCTATTGTCTGTTTGGTTCTTTTTATATTTGCATAGACTGATACCGCACTTTGATTATCCTTACTAATTTTTTTTTATAATGGGAGATAATGGAATGGTAAATCGCGCTATTGGTATACACCGGCGGGGTACCAGTGAGGATGAAGCAGGTTAGTTAGCCTTTCGTGACGAATTCAACAAGAATTGTTCACGATGGTTTCCATGAGGAACCACGTGGAAGTCGACCTGATAGGGTATATTGCTAGGAATGTCAAACTCCATTGCTAACAATCCTTTTCCCCCTTTACTAATATTATAAACGTGAAAGAGTGTTTGTTTGTTATCTTATGGCCCCTTAATGGCTTAAAGTTAAGTAGCTACGAGTATAAGGTAAAAAATTGGTTTAAAACAATAACTATGAGATTTTGTATAAACGTACTATATGGGATGGAGAAGGATATATATAAGAATACTTTTATTCCGGGCATTAAATATAGCCTGGCCACGCAGATGAAGTCGCGGGTTAAATCTAGCAAAAATATAGAATATTTTCCACTTGTAAGACTGAAATATTGAAGCGTAAACTTGTTTAGAAATGAAAAGGTTTATTAGTTGTTTACACTTGATACACCATTTCTAGCTATTTATTAGTGTATTATATAAATAAGTATAGTTTATTCCGGGGAAAAAAAAACTTCCAATGTTGGCAAAATTAATGTTGAATTTACTAGAATTTTGACTATTTTTATTTTTAATCAACTTCAAAAAATGAGGAGGTCGTATGTTTGATTGCATATTTTTTATTCAAAAGAATATACTCCTGAGGCGGTCCAAGTTAGGATTTGATGACAAGAGCCCAAGGAAATCGAGGCTATCCTCAAATTTTATGTACATGGTGTTTCATATATTTAAAGGAATAAAGTATGTTGACAGATGACGATATGTTATATATGGTAAATACATTATTATTATTATTATTTTATTTATTTATCAGCTATTAACTGACCACTGCGGAACATAGGCCTCCCCCTTGCAGGGTTTTGCCAGTAGTTGCCAAGCTTAGCAGACGGTTTGGTAACCGCAGTTAGGCTTTGATGATGTTTTAAGAGGGACACTGTTATCCATCCTTCGACCATTAAATTCCCTTAGTTGCCTCTTACGACATCTACGAGAAAGGAAGGGTCCATTCTATGTTGGAATCACATGGCTACTAATATAATAAATACATTGGATTTGTAATAATTTAAATACAAAGTAAATTAATAAAAGACTTTTTTATGCAACTTAGAATTTTAAACAAGCTGACCGTCCACTTGATGAAAAGTGGTAACCGTCGCCTACAGGCATGAGCAGTAGGTACATAATATATGTTATATGGACATAACAGAGTATCGGCTTCATGAAAATTTGTAACATTAAAAAATTTAAACGAATTGATTCTCTTTTTCAGGAAATCGCAATAAAATAGTAAAAATAGTTTATACTTTGCGTGTAACAGATCTTACTACAGTACCTAATTATCTACGTATGAAAATAACGTTATTAGTTTAGACGGATCTAATCTATAAAGGAATATACTCGTATATAGAAAGTAGAAAAGGATGTAACGTATTTTTTTACTAGAGCATATTTATTCCGTGATAATGTAACGTATCACGAATATTTAAATGCCAATAATTTAAATTCATATGAAATTATAGAATATATAATGGTGCCTACTTATAAATGAAATGTCAAGTTAAATTTAAAATCTCATTAACACCTAATTCACATTTAATCTCAGAAAAAAAATCAGAACAGAAGATGTGTGATAGATACGTGTTCATAATTGTGTTATACTTCTTAGTCATTTATTATAATAGCTATATTAACTATGCCCACGATTTCGTCTGTGTGGAATTTATTTTCCTGTAATTTGTGTAAACACGTAAACCTTTCTTTTTAGAATTTATAGTATACATACAAACAAAATAAAATTAATGATTTTTAAGTATTTTTCATGTTATATATCTCAATAGATACGAGTATATAACACAAACCCACTTTATTTGTATCTATAAATCGATATTTATAGATGCAAATGAAGTGGATTTTTTAACACAATTTTTATTCACATATAAAAATTTATTATTTTACTGGGCATAATAAAAATAATTTTCCATAATTAAATGTAACAATAAAATAATCAATCTAAGTATATAAATATATGGTTATTTTTTTAGAACACCGACGGCAAACGAGCATACGGCGAGTGACTACCGCCGGCCAAGAGCACCCGCCACACCAGAAGCAACACTACACTGCCGGCCTTTTAAAAAGAAATATGCTCTTTTCTTGAAGGTTATGATGTCGGTTATACGGTTAAGTCTAACACATTCTCACTTCATCATTTTTATGATAATTTTAAATTTTGCGACGTTTTGTTAAGAAAATTCAGGTTCAGGTTTCATTTTATTATAACCTTGAATGTCTGATTGATCAAGGTTGTCAGAATTAAATGTCGCAATGTGAACATATAGAACATTCCACATATAGGTATATGATTAGTAGATCCTTACCGCCTTCTACATCAATTGTATTCAACAACACCATACAGGGTGTTTTATTATTTCATTATTCAAATAAACATGTAAAAATAATAAAAAGGCACCTATTTAGGTAAAAATAATAGTTGTTTAGTAGCCGAAGCACAAGCACTATTAAATTTGGAAATAGATGGCGCCATTTATGTATAACATGTCCAACGGTATATTATTATTTAAGATTAATTAATTTTTATATTGCTTCACATAATACAAATATTTTTATTAATCTGTGTGTTTTATGTTTAATATGTACGCGTATGTTTATGAATTATTATGAACTCTGCTCGGTTTGGAACTACATAACGCTGTTTAATATATTACACATTTAACAGTTTTTACTATCAGACATTACGGAATAATTATTTTTTTTTTCCATTACCAGTTTCCCTTCAGTTTTATTGGTCTACTAAGTTATTATTAACAATCGGTATAACTATATATAAAAAAACAAAATACGGGAGAATTATTTGATAGTGTCATTCACCAAAGACTATGTATTAAATTGATTTTTATATGATATTTTATTTGATATTTACTAGAATTTAACAGATCATTGACTCTGGTAATCAAATCTTGTACCTGCTCTTATTGGGAAAAATTTTATACCTTGCAGGAATGTTGATACTACGCGAATAACCTGTTAGTTTTTTGTAGAAGCCGGATTTCTATTCGCATTAATTTTATATTGCATAATTTTACAAATTATGTAACGTCATGATTTTTGGAACAAGATATTTATTTTTAGTTATAATTCATCACTGTCTAATCTAGTTATACATGGATAACAATTTATCTTTGATTGCTTTATGAGATGTGTTCTTGTAATTTATTAAAATAAAATTATTATTACATTAAACTATAAACAAAATTACGAATCATCATGATTGAAAAACAAAAACAAAGAAAAATATTTATTCAGCGCCTAGCAACAGCAATTATAAAAAATATTTTTTTGACTTTTGACTTGACTTTTTGAATTGAATTTGAAATTGACTTTTTATTTATAAATCTTATGATTTATAAATAAAAAGTCAATATTATCAAATTAATAAAATTGTTTAAATGTAACCAAAATGGAACCAGAGCTAAAAAATAGTTAACACGCAGTATATAGTACGTCCATCTTGGTATACATAATGCTTAAACGTTGATTATTTGAAGTTTTTAAACAAAATTTGAAGATATATGAAATTTTATTACTATAATTATCTATTTTTACGTTAGGTTATGATAGAACAGACTGAGAGAACCAAGTGCCAAAGGCCTCTATTCTTACATAACAGTAAGAAGGGTCTTTATGCGTCGTAAATTAACAAGGAAATCGTTTATAGGCAACAATTGGTTGCTATGCTCATTTTCTTATTGGAATTTAATTTCGTTTTATATTAGTTCTTAAATTTGTTTTAAGTACTTACTCAACTGCCATTCGCATTTATTCGCATAATAAAATTCCGAACATTATAAAATAACAAAATAAATTTAAAAGGAAAAAGGAGAAGACTAATAATAATGATCGATAAAAATAATAATTAATAATGAATAATTTATATTTAAAGATGAATTAAAAATATTTTACGTACAAACCTTGGATATTTTTAATATACAATAACGCATTAATAATACGTTTTATGTTAAAAAAAGGTTCTTGAGTGGCGACCCTGTATGGGCAAACGCAGTGTGTAATGACCCTCCCAATAGATGGAGTGACAACGTCAATTGCAGAGAGTCAGTGTATGCAGGTATCTCAGGACCGTTTCACTTTACGTTACAATCTATGGGGGAAGCCTATGTTCAGCAGTGGACAGATAATGGCTGATATATAATCCGTTTTACATTATAATATATAAATAAAATTAAAAGGAGTTGAAAAAATCTCCGTCTGATTGTACAAAATTATTTTTTCCTTGGTGTAATTAGAAACATCCGCTACGGATAGCTGACAGTTGCTGGTAGCAATCATGTCGAATCGATCTGTCAAGATTTCAGGAGGTAAAATATTTTAACCTAGTATGTCCTAAGATAAGCGGTATTTCTGTTGTGTCTATATATCATAATTCATTAAATCATAGACAGATACATTAATATGGAGTATTTGTTATTAAAATTGTTAATTTTCAAAATAAATAAAATAAAACATCAACCTGTTCATAGCGTCGTTCAAATAAAATAATTCATGTCGCGTACTAGTCCTGTACACGCACGTCTTACCAAGGTGCGCAAGCGCCGAACCGATGCCAAACCAATGGGGTCATCATTGAATCCTTATATATTCAGCCAGGACTAGGCTTCATCAGTTAGTGTTTAACAGACATACACAAACAAACAACCAAAATGTTCAAGCTTGTGAGTACATTATATTATTTAATTAATAATTATACATATTTAATTATAATATCAATAAATACTTTCAGTTATAAAGTAGTTATTGTATACAAAACAATTATTAACATTGTTAATTTTTAAAATAATCCATAAGAATTGAGATTGTTTTTCTTTATTCATTTTGTGATGAATAAAGAAAAACGTAACTCAATTCTTATATATTCTTTATTAAATATAATTATTGTTTTTTATGACTTCAGTATCAGTAACATATGTTTTATTAAGTTTAATAAAATTATAATAAGAGCCAATCAATCTCACTAGTAGCCTCAGACTAGAAAAAAAATAAAGAATAATGAAAATATACAAAGAACGTATGAAGACATAAAGTAGAAAATCTAAGCCTTCATATACTTATAATATTTTTTTTTTATAAATAGTAGAGAATAAAATCAATATCTATTTTAAAACAATATAATTAACAATATTTATTTTATAATTCACTTCATAAAATATCGTGTCTATCAACAAGTCTTTTACATCGTTACTAGACTTTGATATCTAATATCATTCACTAAAATAATTTATTGCAGTCATAGATATATCTACCTAATAAGAAATATCTCTTCTGTTATATTACGATTTAATAATATTATATTTAATTTACAGGTGTAAATGCAAGGTTACATATTTAGTGTATTTGTTATAAATTTAGTAGAAGTGCCAACTCTCATATTATTCATTAAACATAAAATTTTTAATTTTAATAACAGTAAAATTATTTAATGCATGACTAACTGCTACTTGCGACTTTGGCCAAATGAATCAGTATATAAATAATCCTATGTGCTAAGTTAGGATATGTGTACCAAATTTTATACACACTTATAAACTTTTTCTTTTATAAAATTATAATATAACTAATGAATTTTTTGCATTACAACTAATAGATATATCTGTTATTCGATATTTTATTATGCAAAACTGTTTAATATGCATTCTACACAGGTGGTGTGATCGACTGTTGTAAACTTACACATAGTTTTAAATAATGTCTAGGACAAGTCTATTAGGTACGCCAAACATTAAGTAATCTTGAAAATGTGTCACTTTGTATTGCAGTAAACGTAACTTGTCACGCAATTAAAGTCTTAAATAGGAACTTTACTATAAACATCACAAGAATGTTGTTTAAAGAAACACCGACGATCCAGTTTAGCCTGGTAGCAATTTATTTTGTTTCCTTAATAAATTAATGGTTTTATTTTTTCAATAGACGTATTTTTAACAAATTCATTGAATTATGCTTATTATTAGCTGATGACACATAATCGAACTATATTCAAGTGAACTTATCAAAGAGTATAAAATTCAGTAAAGTAATGCTCAAAATTAGCTAATTACAGTTGAATATATGCGCGTTATCTAACAATATAACAAAAAAATATATTAGACATAAAATAAGCTATTGTTTATATCATTCCCATTATGTGACTTCATGCAGTTAAAACAAACGTGATAATACTGTCATTTATACAGAATCATCAATCAGAGTCTAAGATTCAAACTTACATTTAATTTAATTTGAACAGACATCTTATTTATTATTATTATATTAGCCGTTAACTATTCCCTCGTAAACATAGGCCTTTCCCATAAAAGGAGTTTTGCCAGTAGTTGCCATGCCTGACAGGCGAGTTGGCAACCGCAGTTAAGCTTTAGTAATATTTTAAGAAGAACGCTGTTACCCATTCCTTGACCATTAAGTTCGCTGAGTCGCCTTGGTTTATTCTACGCCGGGACCACACGGCAATAAAACTTATACTCCCGAAAATCATTAGGTACTGACAATAAATAAAACAAATTTACACATGAACAATTGATAATTTAATAAAATTCTATTCTCTATAACTCTAAAATTAATTGATGATTATTCTTATTGAAATTATGTCACTTAAAATTTAGTTATAAATGTAAGTTAGTTACCTACTAACTAAGTAAATTAAACAGTATTCTTTGCCATTCATTAATAATAAAAAACAAATATAACTTAATCAGTTTCCGCTACTATTCGTGTTGTTTATTTGATAACGAACAATTTGTTGATTTATTATATAAATGTCAAAGAGGAGCTCATATAAGTACCTATTTGTAATACAGTTTAATTTTGTACGCATAAATTCTTATTAGGTTGTGTAATACACTCAACCTAATATTGTTATTTTAAATAGAGAAATTATAAAATATAACTTATAATTATTTACGTCAGCTTTAGTCATGTTTTAATACAGTATGACTCACGATGGTTACTATTCCACGAAATTTATGTTAAGTATTTTATGTATTAATATAAACTAATGAACTTAAATAAAAATCTACTTGGTAACAGCATTGGTATAATAAGCGGTCAGAAAAGTTTTGTTCGAAAGCTTTCTATCTTAGAAATCTTTTAAAGAGTATAAAAATCTGGTTTATTACTATTAAAGTAATAGAAATTTTGTATCCCGTAATTTTGTTCCAGCAAAATATTGTTTATACTATGATTGTCACAGATTTTTCAATTAGCATTTTGTAGAACTTGACACTGTATGGTACTGCACTGAGTAGATATATTTAGCCTTGATAAATATTTAAATTTTCTCGATAATAAACACCAATTATATGACTCACTCAATAAAATTAGCCTATTCACAGTTCCTGAATAAAATTCTGATTAAGTACATAAATATTTTGATTATTTACAGTAATATATAATTTATAAATATAAATAAGAAAAAAAATACTAGGTGTTTTTAAATAAGTCAGAGAATACTAAGTAGCTTTTTAACCGCTACTTCGTACGCGAGAATTTCAGAAGTAAGAAATCCAATTAAATAGACCACTTTTTTATGGCATAAAACGAATTAAGTTAGACCTTTAGGAACGCAACTGCATTTAATTTGGTACAGTAAGTTTTGTAAGATGCTGGAGCAAGCATACAATACAGACAGACAAAATTAAACAAAATATATTATTTTAGCTTTTATCGATCTTAATAAGACTCCCTCATATCAATTCTCTCCATAGTTCAATTGTAATTTTATTATATTAGTATCAGTAAGATTATTTTCTCATTACATGCATCAAACATGTTTGATAAGATTTTTGAGTGTTATATTAATAATTCCTTATTCTTTTAAATAATTATGACTTAATGTTAATATTATTACTGTTAATAATTAATATTAACTCATAATTATTTAAAAGAATAAGGAAATAATAAATTAATATAAATGTTATATTTAAAAAATGAATCATAAATAATTTTATATACTGTAACAAAAATAGACGGTATATAAATAAATAGTTTATTTCTATTTTTCAGCTGATTTTCGCCGCCATCTTGGCATTTGCCTCCGCCAAACCTTTGGTATATACCGCGCCCATCGCAGCAGCGTACACCGCGCCGGTTGCCGCTGCGTACACCGCGCCGGTGGCTTACTCTGCGTACAGCGCGTACTCCCCGGTCGCTTACTCCGCTTACACTTATGCTTCTCCCTACTCTTACTATATCTGAACAGAATCCAGCGACAAATCTAAAGAGATCGATTAAGCCGTAATTATATTATTTATTAAACCAACGAGCCTAAGAAAAATGTAAGTGATATATTTATTGAATTAAATATTATCTGTACAAAATATAATGTTTCATTTCTAATTATATTTATATAAAATTAAATACCATTTAAAATATATCAACGATAGTTCATACTTGGGCTGTTAAAGTTATAAAATAATGACAAACAAACTCAATTTGTAATTTATAATATTAATAAGGATATAGTCGTCGTATATACTAGATGTGTGTCAAATTTATTAATTTATATTTATTTTAAGACAATGATTGAATAAACGATTGAGATGTTATAGAGCACGAATGAGAATAAATATAAAAATAACATTCGATAAAAAGTGCTTTCTATTTTATAACTCTCTAAAGAATCTAATCAATATTTCGAGGAATTACACGACATGATACCTTCATCACTATTTAATCAACATTTTTAAGAGGGTGCCAAACTATCACTATGCATATATCCAAATTGTTTCTCATTCATATATTAGGGTTATGTAATTAGCTTTCCCTCTGCAGTATTCCATTCCTATTACGATATAGAGGTTTTAAAAAAAAAATCTTTTTCCATTCCTACAAACATAAAAATGATATATGTTGTACGTATATAAAGTAGGGCAAAAATAATAAAACGTCAAATGTTTCGATCTAAAGCAAATCAGTGTAACATCCCTTCTTGTGTTACCTCAATTTTACAAATATTTATCTAGCAGAAGAAAAGTTCTAAGATCTTTAATTTCATAACATACCGCACTTTTATTTACTTTATTGTATTTTTGTCGATTCTACTAAAATATAAACAAAAATCACGTAAAACGTACTATATGTCAACTTCAAAACTAACTTTAAGACTTAGATAATTACTAATAAATACTTGAATTAGACTCGTTTTAGCAGACTAGCCTTGAATTGAACATTATGTAAGTTTGGTTGTTTCGTTTTTTTTCAATCAGTAGCTAGCCAAAAAATGAAATCTTGAATCAATAAATTAAAGGTTATTTTGTTTTCAAATAATCCATATTTTTAATAAGTCCGGTTTTTGAATGCCCCTATAAAATAGCTGAATCAGAGCAACCCAACATCATTTAGCTTCGATAGCCTGAAAATAAACCTTCACAATGTTTAAAGTGGTAAGTCGGTATATACATCTCTATTGTACCCATTCAGATGTTTATACTAGCTAATCATTTTCAGTATTTAACATATAACTATGGGTTTGGAATTTCGCTATGTGATAAAATTCAAAATAAAAATATCTGAAAAAGGACTAAAATGGCCGATATAACTCTAACAATAAATAAGCTGATGTGACAATAAGCCGATTATAGAGCTTAAAGAATAGACAACCAATGGAGAAGAAATGCTGTCAAATAGCCATGTAGGCAAACGCACTGTAGGCTTATCTGTAGTATCTAGTGATAGGTTCCTGCAACATATTTGAAGTCCTTTCAAATAAAGTAAGTGAATGCAGCTAACTCTAGAGGAGAGGCCTGCGTTTAGCAGTACAAAACTCACACACAACTAAAACAGCGGCTGAAATTATGATAATGATGATATTTCTCCACATATACTTATGTAATGGAATACATAATATTCTATACAATACATACATACACTAATACATATACTAGTATTATCAAAATGCAATTATTACAAAATTACAATACAATATTAGAAAAATAGAAGTAGTCTATTTTTTTATTAAATTATTATTTTTTATTTGGTATTTAAAATTTTCAGCTTATTATCGCCCTCGTGGCAGTTTTGGGCTTTGCCGTAGCTCAGCCAATAGCATTAGCTTACTCTGCACCGTTGACTTACTCCGCACCGATCGCCTATTCCGGATTAAGTGCTCCCATCGCTTACCCCGCTCCCTTGGCGTACTCTGGAATCGCACTCGGAGCATACGGAGATTATCCATTTTTATTCAAGAAACGCTAAACAATATAACGACCTTATTTACGATTACGGACAATGATTTGATTATGAACTGTTGATTAATAAATGTTTTCTTGCTGGTAATGTTTTATTTTATTTGATTTAACATAAACACTTTAAACACAAATTAAAATTCGTATGTACTAGATGCATATCAAATTTATTCATTTATAAATATTTTTTGACAATAATTAATTGAATGATTGAGATCATACATAGCGCCTGAATAAGAATAAATATAAAAATAACTTTTAATTGAAAGCTTTCTATCTTATAAGTCACTCGAAGTATCTAACCTAATGTTCCGAAGAATTACATGATATGGTAACTTCCTTGCTCAATAACCACATTACTTCTCGCCAGAGAAGTAAAATCCATCTACATTTTTCCACCGTGCATAAACTCAAATGCTTTTCTTTTTTTCACTCATACCTTATATAGTTAGAATAGTATTCTTTTTGTGTATATATTTTATTTCTAGATGATACAAGAATAGTAGAAAATATATGGTATATTTCTTATAAATCATATATTTCCTAACATTCATGTTATTGTTTTTTGCTTTAAAAAAATAGGATACAAATTAACATTTCACAAATTTTTTGCACAAGTCTGGTACAGATGTAAATTGCAACTTGTTACTATGCCGGTTTTAAATGCCACCATTGATTTGAAAATTATCTTAATTTAAACATAAATATAATAGCAACTAGGTAAAATTCCTGAATTTAGAGGACATAATGATTTTAGAATGTGATCTGCTAAATCGAACTTCAGATACGCAGGCAAAGACGGTTAACTAATTTTGCCAACTATAATAACAAAGAAAGAACTATTGAGAATATACGTTGGCCTACAAAACGCAGGAAATATCAAACAAAATTTATAATCGAGGTTACATCTCATCTAAATCCAATTTAAATGGATATAGATCATTTTATATTTATACCTTATTAAATCAATAATAAACTTGAACAAATGTGAAGTTTTGTAAATATATTACATTTGTTATGATATAAACCTTGAGTTATTAGTGACGGTACGTTACAGCTGGTTAAATATAAAACAGCCGCATCAAAAAAAATTTTTTTTTGATGGGTGAAAATGGTATGGTACCCCGACTGAGCTAACGGGATACGCTGACGGAGCACCAGTAAAGGGTAATAGATGAGAATGAAAACAGTTCTGTTAGCTCATCATGATGAATTCATCAGGAATTAACCATGATAGTTTCCAGGGAGAACCGCGAGGAGGTCGACTTGGTTGGATATAGCAATGGGATTCTCAATCTCCATTACTAACAATCCCTTTCACCCCATCAAAAATCATTGTCAAATATTGGTGCTAATAATTCGATATTCAAAAATAGTTAATTAAGTAAAGGAGCTTAATGACGAATATTAATGTTATATATGATCGTCACAAAATCTTTATTCATCATTATTTATTTATTTAAATAACTTTATTGACCAAAAGATAATATGGTATAAAAGATGAATTTAAGGCTAGTAAATTTTTTTTTATGCAACTTAGAATGGCAAACAAGCTGAGGGCTCACCTGATAGAAAGTGGTAACTGTCGCGTATAGTGTTTCGCCCATGATAGTCCCCATGCGCTGCCATTACAGAGGACTCAGGTGTTATTCCTCTGTACCCTGTAAATTCATTACCACATCCCACCCTTCAAACCGGAGGAGGGGGGGGGAGGGATTGTTAGTGATGGGATCAAGAAGCCACATTACTAGCATATATCCTGTTAGGTCGACCTCCACATGGTTCCCCCTAGAAACCATCGTGGTTAATTCTAGTTGAATTCGTCAGGATGGGGTAACTGACCTACTTTCAGCCTCATCAGTTGTCTATCACTGGTGACCCGCCAGTGTACACTGATAGCGCGGGTGGAGTTGCCACGCCATTATCACCTATTATTAAAAAAAAACCCATTTTTTTTTATTTTTAAACATAATTGTATAACAATAAACATTTACATTTATAATATTACCTAGAAGAATTGGATTATTTGTTTACCATCATTGTACCCCCCCCCCCATATTGTCATAGAAACTTATATATTTAAACTTTAAAGCACAGTGTGAATATATGTATATTTAACGGACTTAACATCGGGTGGATTAAATTTCAAGATATGTAACAAATTTTCAGTTTCAACTACACGTCGATATTGAAGGGTCCATAAAACTCTATTACTAAAATTGAGAGTTGTCAGAATATAACAAGAAAAGAAGAAATAAACAGATTTCGTATGGGCAAAATAGAGTTTGAATTTTTCTTATATTTAATTCAGAAATAAAATCTCGAAAGACCTGCTTGATAAACAATAACTTAGTAGTCTACTACAGAAAATAGTAAAGAGAATTTAAGACTATCTATAATTAAACATGGAAATAGATTATCATATTTATTATTACCTATATATAGATATACATATATATATCTAAGACGGACCTATGAAAATTTGCATATTTATGTTGCTTATTTATGCAAAGAGTGGTGGTCACTGATCATCATTATATGGTATTCTGAAGCAAGGCCACCGGATGTTAATTGAATATACTCGTTCGATCATTTTTTTATATTAAAAATTAGATTAGGTTTCTTTAAACTTCTTGTAATAAAAGCCCACACATACTAAAAGATTAATATCCTATTAAAATATTTTGGTTGTTAGTTTTATTTAAATTCTTTCTGATGTTTAGGTTCACATTATCACAAAAAATATAATATAATATATTTAAAATACACTCTACTACTCATATGTAAAAAAATCTACGTCTTCCGATATCATAGTTACGTATATAAAAATTATATATCTGGATAAAACAATCAGAGAAAAACATAAAGTAGTAAAGAATTAACACAGGGGTAACCTGTGTTAATTCTTCAACCATGTAAATATAAATAAAAAAAGAACTAAGAAAAAATAAACTGGCTTTCTGGAAGCTAATCTTTTAAGAATGTGTGCTCATCATGAAATTAAATTTATATATAATATTGTTATGATTTTGACGATCAGAAGAATTCCCGTAATAAAAACTGCACCATCGTATCATATCCACTCTGTCGCCATTAGATGTTTAATCCTTGAATAGTGCTAGTTCTGAAGTCGTTAAATCGTAATGTCTTCGAAACGTCATTGTATTAAATATTTAATTTATAATTATGAAATACTTCCGTATGGCAATAAAGTAATTATGTGCTACCACTCCTTTTTATCCTTTTTAGAGTAGCGTAAGAGCCGAAGAGAACTCTGTAGAATATAATTTTTTTTATGATACTTAGAATGGTAAACTATCTGACAACCCACCTGATGGAAAGTGATAACTGTCGCCTATAGTCATGAACAATACTATAGATACCACTGAATACATTATTATGCTCATGATACCCCTCATGCGTTGTTATTTCTGGGGATTACAATGTTGTGCCTTCATACCCTGTAACTTAACTGCCACATCTCATTCTTTAACCCATAACAGACAAACAATGCAATGCAAATGAAATGCAAGTGTTTTTGGCGTAAAAAATTGTACTTCACAGCAGAATTACGAGTGGAATAAGGTATCTTTTTAATAATATTATATAAGCATGAGAAGGAAATCTTGAACCATAATTCTGTCACAAACTGCAGAACTCCCGTGGTCATAATAGGCTAATGTTCTTCTCTTACGGGGAGGACATACGCCCATTAGGAGGTTATTATGTTATTAAATATCTTTTTATATGCCAATTCCTACAGAGTATAATAGTAGTAAGTACTAATAGTAGAAGAAAAAAGTAAATAAAAACATTTTTTAAACTTTTCTCACGGAAATGTCTCTTCTGTATTCCAACTATATTTGAACGAATTGATTTTACAAGAATTCTGCCCCAGTGTCCATTCTTTACCATTGTACTTGAAAATATATACTTGAAGTGGGTTAAAAACAAAATTTATGACGAAGGTTTTTTTCTTTACTTATAAAGTTTAAATTATTCATTTACTAATCAACGTATAAAAACATTTGTTAATTTACACAAATGTTTTTATATATCTACTATTAATATATATTAAATATCTACTATTAATCTTTGATTCCTGAGCAATGCATTTTTTTAAGAGTGGTTCTTTAATATAAAATCTTTAAGCGACTTCAAAAAAGGAGATTTTCAATTCCTCTTCATCTATTTTTGTTATTGATTTTGATAATTATTATTGCAAGTTTATCCCCAGTGTTAATCCCATGTTAATTTTATTACTAAAGTTACGGTTTCTTCGTTACAAGGCAATAATTTAAATTATTAAATATACGCAGACACAAGATTATTTAACTCATTTGAATTGCGAAACGATTTAAACCTATGATTAGGAAATTAATTCAACACTTATTAAGTGTCTCGATAATTTTAATACCTACCGGTTTCAAAGGAATTTTCTCCCGCGAATATTCTGAATGTGAAATGAGCTCTCTGCCTAAGTTTTCTTAGAGACTATAGAATGGGGTTCTTCAAAAAGGGTGTATTAAAATTTCTAAGATCGGCAACGCGCACGTGACACCCTAGTGTTATAGGCGTCGATAGGCTACAGTGTCCGTTTATCATAAGATGGGCTGTATGCTAACTTGCCACTTTCGAAATCTTACAAAAATATATAAACTAAACGTTACTCGTTATTGTGGGTGTCGTAAGAGTCGATTAAGGAAGGGCGAGGGATGAGCAGCAGCGTCTCTCTTAAAACATCTCTAAAAGCCTAACTGCGGTTGCCAACCCGCCTGCCAAGCGTAGTAACTATTGACAAATTCCCCTTATAGTGAAATTTTAAATTCAACAGTGAACAGTTATCGGCTGAAATCTTAAAATTCTCGTGTCGCGGTGTTTGTTACCAAACTCCTTCAAAACGGCTTTACCTATTTTTATGAAATTTTGTGTGCATATGGGGTTGGTCTGAGAATCGGCCAACATATGTTTTTCGTACCTCTCAATAATAAGGGTCACCCCTAAATTTTTTCTTTTATTTTTTTGTAAATTCTTTTTATTTCTATTTTATTATGATTTAGCATTGAAAAATACAAATTCAAATTTTCACACTTTTACGATTAACCCCTGTTGTTTAATCGCAATTTTTATATGCCGCAAAAGGGTTGCAAGATGACAATCGAATATAATAATTGTAGTACGATATATTTTCATGTATAGTTTTAGAAATAATGTATAAGGTAAAACAACGTTTACCGAGTCAGCTAGTAATAATATAATAAATCTTTATTCTATAAAAATATATTCATAATAATCTGTTTCTAAATACTAATTAATGTAAACGTTAGAAAGATGCCCTTCTTACGTGTAAAATATATTTTATACTCGATTTGGCAAATCAGCCTTGAATCCATCGCGTGTCACAAAATGTATAAATCTTTATTAAAATTTTTATATATTAATCGTCGATATGACTTGCCAAAGGAATCACTCTTAAAACAAGAGCTTAAAGTCTATTTTAGTACTAGAAAAAAATTCTTGTGTTCAGGCGTCCGGTTTTAGAATTTTAGTATAAAACAGCAGAACGGGATGATCCCAGTATCACTCAGATATTGTAGTCTGAAATCAAAACACAACCATGTACAAGCTGGTAAGCGAACTGTGTATATTTTTTAAAGTAACAAATTTTAATGCAACTAATAATTAACAACTTTTTTACTATGTACCTACTTAGTTTAGGCACCAAATAACTATTGAATATTTTATTATATTATATTACATTTTATTCAAATAACATTAAAGTATTAAATAAATAAAACAGAAAATATGCTAACAATATACTTAAAGTAGGTACTCTAAATTATGCAATCAAAAGCATTTTGTTAATTTTTATTGTTGTAATAATCGTAATTTAGGTCTCAGGATCGGAAACGTATGAAAGGTATCCTGGACACTACAGTTCATGTATATTGTTGATGTTTACCACTTTTCATCAGGTGCTCCGTCAGCTTATTTATTATTTCAAGTGGAACAAAAAAAAAACATTTAATTTGATCATGGCATTGAATCGTTATATTAATGTTACTTTTTAATTACAGCTGGTCCTCTCTGCCGTTTTGGCGATCACCGCCGCCAAGCCTAGCGCCATAATTGGTGCTCCCTTCGGATACACAGCTCCCGCTGTGGCCTACTCCGCGCCAGCAGTTGCGTACTCCGCCCCGGCTATCACCACCGCCGTCGCCCCCGCTGTCGCCCCTGCCGTCGCCACTGCCGTCGCCCCTGCTGTCGCCTCTGCCGTCGCCCCTGCCGTCACCCCTGTCGCCTACAGCGCTCCAGCTACGTTCGCTGCCCCTGCTGTTGCCACCGCCGCCGTTGCCCCCGTCGCGTACTCCGCCCCAGCAGTGGCTACCGCTGCCGTCGCTCCTCTCACCTACTCCGCCGGCTACTCCGCCTACTCTCCCTTCGGATACTCTAGTTACACTACTCCCTACGCTCTCTCTGGTGTGTCTACATATGGTGCTGCCTACGGCTACGGTTACAGCAGCTACCCTAGTTACTACTGGAAGAAGCGATAAGTTAGGTTGACTATTTATTTGTTATAGGATCAATGCACTTAAAAATGTGAGTTTGAAATAAAGAATTGTTTGCTAATATACTTATGTATTTCTTTGAATATTACTTAATATATCTATATCCCTTCCTTTCCCGTGGGTGTCATAGGAAACGATTAAGGGAGGGCGAAGAATGGGCAGCAGCGTCCCTCTTACAACACCTCTAAAGCCTGGCTGCGGTTGCTAATCTGCATGCCAGGCGTGGCAACTACTGGCAAATCCCCCCAATAGGGAAGTTTATATTCAGCAGTAGACAGTTACATGGCAAATTGAGACGAGGCAATAAACGAACTATAAGAAAATATTCCTTTAGAATTTTTTTTTTTTTTATTATTTTAACCTAAATTTTTAACTATAAGTGTCAGTTCAGTTGTATCGACTAGTTAGTTGAAAATATGTATTGTACATCTGGAAGAGGACAGAATCCATACTAAAATGCCCTGTATTATGGTGTTTTAGCCCTTACACTTGGCCCTTGATAATATTATACGAAAGATAAACAAATTAAAAGTTAAACAAATATAAAAAGTCTACAGTGATCATGCGTGAGACTGTGATCTGTTTACATTTAAAATCACCATCCTCATATCAGCCGTTAGCTGTCTACTATTGAACATAGGCTTTCTCCATAGACTGTCAAAAAGAACTATCCCGAGCCATCGGCATCCATTAACTCCCTACAATACATTTGAGGTCATTACTCCATTTAGTGGGAGTTCATTCTACACTACATTTGCCTGCACGAGATTGCCACTGAAAAACTTTTCTTCCCCGTCTGTTACATTTAGAATACCACAGTATAAAGAACAAAATTCGATAACAAACATTTTGTTCCACAAAAAAGTCCTTCAATTATAAATACACACACAAACCTTTAAACTTAGATTATATAGATAGTGTCTCCATACAAATATTGCAAGAAAAGCGGTCAACTTTTTTAAAAAATTTTGCGTGATAAATAGTTATGAGTATGAGTGACTATATTTATTCAGTGTTATAAATTCTGCGACTTTATAATGCGTAAAAACTTATTTTATTTATTAAATAATTAAAAATAGAAAAATAATTTTATGCGTAAGCATATAGAACGTTAATAAAAAATATAAATCAGCTAATTTAATTAGTTGACCCGTTTTTGTGTCGATGCTCTATAGATATAATATATATACATAATCTAAGCCTTTAAAATATTTGGATTTAGAACGCGAATTCATGTATCGAGATTTGAATTTTGCTTTACAACATGCACCTACATATTATTTGCTTTGCAAAAGAAAACAGCAAAGTCAAGCGTCACAACATTCAGGATGAAAGGGAGTAAACATAAAAATTATGAATTGTCGATATAATGATAATTTGTATATCTACCTACCACAAAAAAATATACACAAATTAAGAATTTCCTTTGTGGATATTATTAGAAAAAAACGGTTGGATACATAGATAAAAATATTCGTTGTTGTATATGAATTACTTCATTAAAGTAGATGTAATTAACAAATATAAGGTTTACCTAATAATGCAGTTGTCTATGGAGATTTATGATTTAGTCGGCAACATTAAAAATGCAGAAAGCTTTAACATTGACACAAAATTTTTATAGATGTATTTAATTATTAATGGATCGCGGGCTACTGCGATTTGGCAAAATGACCTAGTTTTATCACATATAATAAAATTTGCAATAAACATTTCTTCACAGTAATTATAAAATAAATTTGATATTAAAAAAAATACAATAAGAAAATTGAGATACATATTTATTATTTAACTAATCGTTTATAGCGGATTTTCTAGCGAGAACCTCTTATTTCCCGTTCCAGTAAAAATTTCCGAAAATGCTTCTTTAATGGATCTTTTATTTAACTAGGTTTTATTTTGCGGAAGTCCATAATACTGGTTATTTTATTAGAAATATTTTGTTTAATATCGCTACTATTAATATGTGTGCGACTACCAACACTCGAAAATTGATCACTATTACCGTTTCCAGATTACCATTTCAGTTCAACAACCTTTCATATGAACCATCAATCTCCGAATGCCATTTCGTCCACGCACGTATTGTTTTTTTTCTTAATAGATGCCATATCTCTGTCAAAGGTTTTATGTTTTTATTTTTATTTTTTTGTCTTCGTCCGCTTATACAAGTTAAAAGTAGTGTCTAACCAAACTTTTGGTTTCTGTTAGTTATGATGAACATTTAAAATTTGGCTTAATGAAATTAAATTGACGACCTCGGTAAAAAGATTATTAAAACTACGCTAAAAACTAAACTAAATTAAAATTTATTTCTAGTGCACCTTCGACTCGTCCCGTGGGCTTGATGTTTATTTCATCGCCCTTTCTATTCCATTCTCACCGTTTATATTTGTTTCATTAACCTTATGATGTCCTAAGCTTTGAAATATCGATTGTATGTTTGATAAAAAGTAAAGTAATATGTAACAAGTATTTCACTTCGTAACAATTATTGTATAAATAAGCTTTACTTACTTTTTTTTTATTTTATTAGCCATTAACTGTCCACTGCTGAACATAGGTCTTTCCCATAAGGGGAATTTAGCCAGTAATTGTCACGCTTGGCAGGCAGTAACCGCAATCAGGCAATGGGGATGTTTTAAGTGGGAAGCTGATGCCCATCCCCCTACCATATTCGCCTTTTACGACACCCATGGTAAAGGAAGAGGAGGCGCATTCTATACCGGAACCATATGGCGGCTTTACTTACTTATTTCAAATAAATAGGTTGGGCATAGATTAATATAATAATATACATAATAATAATATTGGTAAATTGAATGTTGTTACGAATTTTCTTGTTTTTGCCTGTTTTTGTATTTAATAATAACGCTAGGATTTTGTAATATTGATTGATAATGAAATACTAATTACAAGATTGGAAATTTATATTTACTTAATAAAATATATTGTTTTTGTCCCCCATGGAAAGTAAAAAATATTTTTAGAAGAACCAAATTATTAGTTTGTTAATTCAATAGACAAATACATTTTGATAATTCAGTTAATAGTGATAGAAATTTTTTAAATATTTTGTACAATTTTAAAATTGATTTTGATTAGATTTCTTAGGAGTATGTATTTATTAGGTAGGCCGTTAGCTTGTTTGCCATTCTATATTGCACAAAAAAAATACTTATTCAGTTAAATTCAATTTATATTTAATTTACTTACTTATTGTACAGTTGCAACTTCTAATACAAAATAATTCTAGCACAATTAATTATGTTTTTGGTTTTGTTTATTCTTTTAAACATAGTTTTTTTTTTAGGTTTGCAAAGGGCTAAAAAAGATTTTTTTTTTTTTTTGGATTGCAAAAGCCTTTTCTTCTACGTTTGTAAAAAGGTTATTTTTAATTTATTATTCATTTATGAAACTTATCTACCGTACCGTTACTTACTGTATCGTTTTTAACCACATTTGTAGTTCAAAATCCATTTATAGTGCATTTGAAGCCTGAATTTAAATGATAATTATTAGGTGTCTATTTATACATAAGATTACTTATTTATCTTTATATCCTAATAATTTTGTATTTGAAATTAACAAAATTTTATAAACCCTCAGCAAGTGCGTTGAACTTACAATTGACTATTCTATTGTAATATCGCATTGCCTGTGTATAAAGCAACAATGCAAACATCTAAGTTAGTTCCACGATTTTCTCATACATCAATCAAAGAAGAAGAATGTCCTTCGTTAATAAATTAATTATATCAGAGTTGTGATGTCAACTGTTATTATAACCTTGATGGAGGTAATTTACTTTATTCATCTAACAAATATTCATAGAAATTCGTTTTTATAGGAAAATATACCTTGTAATTTATAATAACAAGTTTGATTTTTAGAGACCATACTACAGTAAATTATATGGGATATGATTATTGCATGATTTTTGTATATAACGGATAGCTTCGATATATTTAGCTACAGTAAGCTTTGACAGTCTATAACCGACATCAACATGTACAAATTAGTGAGTAAATTATTAATATTAAATAATAAAATATTATATTACAACACAAAAATAGTTTAAAAACATACAAATAGAGTCGAAACTTAACAAAATTGTATAACATTACAAGATATAGTTTTTAAAAGAAAAAAAACAACATGGGGTTAATTTCTTATACAGTGAATGTTTTGTGCAGTTCAAAATTATAAATATATAAAATTTTAAATATTTGCTTTTTTTAATCTTAAAGGTACATCTAAGTGATTCTAAAATGTGTACCTAATAATATTGTAATAAGTAAGTTAAAAAATTTGTCTATTTTGTGGCACAGTAATACAAACATTGGTTTGATTCTTAATCAGATTTGAACATTTATAAATTGCCTCGAGCCTAGAGTTTCGAGTTGTGGCCCCATAACCTAGCCCTCCCAAAATCTGGTTTTCTATAATACAGAATATTAGTGTAGCTCCAGAAAATTTATTATTTATCATATAATTATTATACATTAATATGTTCCTAATTAGAAATAGTCCCTAATACGACAGTACAAGTAATATTTTAAATAAACATTACGATTTAAATTCACGAGAAAACCCAACTTCAATCGTGGCAAAAACAGTTATTTTTATTTAAAAACCAACCACTGAATCAACTGTGATAAAAAAAAAATATGCGACCAGTCTGAATGTACATACTTGAAATAATTTTTTAAATGACGAAGTTCTGAGATAACATATATAAATAAAAATACAACCGATTTGAACCCTCCTCCTTTTTTAAAGAGATCAATATGTTTTTGATAAATTATTTAATAATGGAAATAGCAACTAAGCTGTACTTTAATGTTGTATGGATCATAGTTAATTTATAGATATATATTTCAAATTTTATTAATATAAATAAAATAAAAATATTTAGACCAACCCGTAATAAGGTAATTAAATAACAAGGTGTAAAATCGGTATAGATACAAATAAGCTAAAAAATATGTAAGTCTATGTATATAATTTTCATTATTTTTAATAACTTCTATAACTAAATAAGTGCTTATACATGTTTTGTTTTTTATTTCAGTTCGTTTTTGCCGCAGTGCTAGCGCTTGCTAATGCCAAGCCCAAGCCCAATGGATTTATCGCGCCAGTGGCATACTCATCCCCAGCAGTGGCCTACTCCGCTCCCTCTGTCGCTTATTCCGCCCCAACAGTCGCATATTCAGGCGCAGCTGTTCCTTATGCTGCCCCAGCTGTTTCCTATTCTAGCCCAGCCGTTTCTTATTCTGCCCCAGCAGTTTCGTATTCCGCCCCAGCCGTCCCGTATTCTGCTCCAGCAGTCTCCTATTCTGCCCCAGCAGTCTCTTATTCCTCACCAGCTGTAGCTTACTCAGCTCCAGCTGTTTACCCTAGACCTGTGGTGAGCTACTCCGTGCCTCCTGTATCGTATCCAGCCGCTGTCGGTCCAGTAGGATACCCTGCCTACTCACCGTTCAGATATCCTGGATACGCCCCAGCACCTGTTTCTTACGGATATGGTGTCGGTTACAACGGCTACCCCGTTTACTACTATAAGAAACGTTAAAATATATTTACATATTTACATAATAGACCTAAATGTTTGACAAAATTATAATATTGTTATATCTACCTACAGTGTGTATATATTTGGTTCACTTTTGTTACTCATGATTCAGACTCAAATGCCAAAAGTGACTCCTATATTTAAAAATAAATTATTACAAAATTACTTTTGTTTGTTTATTATTTAACCTTTATTGTATAAAATGTATTTCACTTCCGTGATTTCAACCACTCGGTGAGTGTCAATCTTAAATAAGGAACTACTGGATTTTAATGTATTGGAAATAAAAAAGAAACTGTAGTTTATATATAACTGAGTAGGCATGTAAATATTCACATACGTTTACAGTAGTATTTTTATGCAAATATATTTAAAAAATAAATAAAAATAATTAATAATGCACCTCTGTCTCATTTGTGTTTGTACCGTGAAGCAGTTATGTTTACATAGCTATGTTCCTGTTTAAAGGTTGGGATAAAGCAATGAAATTACAAGGTACAGAGGCGTAACACCTTAGTTTTCGGGAATAGCAACGCATGAGGGGAATCATGGACGACACAGTATACTCTGTTATCTCTATGAAACTGTTCATGTCTATAGACGACGATTATCACTTTCTGATAGGTAAGCTGCTATCTTAATTGCCATTTTAAATTGCATAAAGTTTATCTTACTGTTTAAAACAACAATTAAGGTTGGTTACAATTCTTCGCAAAGTGTACCTTGTACACTTATAGTGTATACACTACAAGTGTACAAGGTACATGTTAACTGAACTTTCAGTCGTCAAAAATCGTCAAAAGTCGTGTAAACTACGCAATTTAGATCACATTGCACATCTTTCTATGCATGCAACCTGTGGGCTGTATATACTCAAAAATCCTACAGCGACCTCCGTATCCAATATAATAACGCGTTCAGGGTGTTGATGGGGCTGCCGTGATTCTGTAGCGCGTCAGGGATGTTCGCTGAGCATCGTGTAGATTGTTTTTATGCCACGATGCGAAAAAGGTGTGCATCCCTGGTGCGCAGAGTACGTGCCAGCACCAACAGCATCCTGAGTATGATAGCAAGCAGGCTGGATTGTGTGTACGTTAATCGCTGCTGCGCAATTTCCTATGGAATTGTGCAGCGGTGATTATCTGTATACTGCTTAATATATTGTATGTGTGTATGTGTATGTAAATTTACTAACATTAGTTTTTATAATATTGTTACTAATAAATATTTAATGGACCAAAAAGTCTGAAATAAAAATTATTATTATTAAAAATAGTCGCTTCAGTGTTACTAAAATTAATATCTTACGGATACGGAAATTTGATTACAAAATGAATTATCAAAATTGATGAAGATATCGATTATGTAATATCTACCCGTACACTTATATACTAATAATAGTATCAAGAGGAAAGACTTGATTGTTTATTCGTTTGTTCTGAATAAACTCTGAGGAATTATTCAATATAATGCCCACGGCCATTTTCTACCATTGTACAGCTCGCCATCGATAGAGAGTTCACCCCGTATCGTAGAGCCTAGATGGTCATGCACAGCGCTGTTTCAGAGATCACCTTCCACTAACGCTCAGGTTATAGAATCCACCTCCTTTCGAGGTTTTTTCAAAAGTTACCAAGGGATTCTTCAAAAAGGGGTAAAGAGGTTTCTTTAGGGTCTGCAACGCGTGCAAATCATAAACTAGGATTTTAAAAAATCCTTCACTTATAAACTTTACTTTTTAGAAACATAGGCTGTATTATTTTTGAAATTTCTATCTATCTGTGCAAAGCCGCATCAGATTACTAGTATATATATATATATATATATATATATATATATATAGAACTAGATAAATAAACACAAATTCAAAAGAAAACTTACGTTGTCTTTGATAAACAAAAGTGGGCTGATTTAAATTTATAAAAAAAAACGGTAAACCTGTCTAAATATAAAATTTATTCAAGAGTCTCCCGTTAACATTTACGTACAAAACGTTTTGTGTTAGATAAGTTTGTACACAAAATAACCAACGTAACCGACATAGCCCGAAGGATAAGCAAGCTGAAGTGGCAATGGACTGGTCACTTAACTCGGAGAACCGATGACCAATGAGGAAGAAAGATTCTTGAGTGGCGACGCCGTGCGGACAAACGCAGTATAGACGACCTTTCACTAGATGGAGTGTCAACCTGGAATGCATCTCAGGACCATTCTTTACGGGGAAGCTTATGTCCAGTAGTGGACTAATAATGGCAGAAATGATGAAGTTTCGATTAATATATTCACTAACAGCGATTTAGTAGGGAAGTAGTTAATTTCACTTCGATATTATAAGTGTCCTTTTTGAGAGAGTCTAGTGAAAATAAATATAAAACAATCATTAGGTTTTAGAAGTACAATTATATTAATTTATCAGCAATATATTACATTTACACATTGACAATGCTAAACAAAATAGTGAATGAAATATAAAAGTAAAACAAAAATTTTTTATATAAACAACAACACCAGATTTAAATTTACGTCAGAAAAATCCTCCAACACTTTGAGAACTCTTTCTCTTACACTGGTATATTGCGGTTGGTATTTTTTCACATAGTTACCTCTCACTACATCCTAGAAATGAAGAGAATTGAAGACTACTACTACATAGAGCAAGTGCGAACAAGCTGAAGACCCTCTGTTAGAAAGTGGTAACCGTTTATTAATGGATGATAATGGAAGGACAATCCCGCCTGTGCTAACAGTATATGCTAGCGAGGCACCAGTGAGGGATGATAGGTGAGAATAAAAAAGGCGGTCAGTTGCGGGGGTGGTGTGGCGTATCATAAAAGGCTTTTTATTTTTTTCCACTGATTTTCTATCTTCTTTTGTTTTACATTTCTGTCATTCTTAGTCTGTATGTTTTCCTACTAAAAATGAGATGATAAAAGAGAACTTTTTTTATGGTTGAAAATGGTATGGTAACCCCGCCTGCGCTAACGGAATACGCTGGCGGAGTACCAGTGAAGGGTGGTAGATGAGAATGAAAACAGACCAGTTAGCCCATCATGATGAATTCATCAGAAATTAACCATGATAGTTTCCAGGGAGAACTGCGAGGAGGTCGGCTTGGTTGGGTATATTGCTAGCAATGGGATTCTCAGTCTCCATTACTAACAATCCCTATAGAGAGGACCACACAGTGGGACTGGTAGTCCGTATTACTAACACATCCCCCCCCCCCCCGTGGTAATCGTTGCCTACAGATATCAACAATAACATAGATATAACAGAAATACTCTAATGCCCATGGTACTCTTTATGCATCATTCCTAAGGCCTTCGTATCTTTTAATTTCTCTGTCATATGCCATATATCCTTCAAGCCGAAATACAGATCTAAAAATTAGAACAAATCGATAATTCACTTAACACCTACATATTATAAAGTATGTTTAAGGTAATATATGAATTCAAAATTGACATTTAACATAACTACCGTGATTTATATTTGACATCTCAATGTCAAAAATTATCAATAGATATACTGGATTCTGCGCCTAATTCACATGTCTTTATTTAATTATGTTTGTTTAAAAGACTACTTATATTTAAATTCATAAAAGAAGACGCAAAACTGTAAACTGACTGTAATATCAACATACAGTTAAACCTTAATAGATAAGAAATTTTAAATTTTCCATATGCGATCTATACATAGGCTAATTAATAACTTCCTGGTATTATTTCCTTTACATGTTATGCGAATACGAAGTCGCGGATGTTTTTCATTAACTTATAAAAATATACTGAGATTTTTAGCTTAAATCAGATAATTATATACGCACTTATAATCGAGCAGACTTGCTTTGATTTTACACATGAGATAAGAATTATATTATAATAATATTTGTACTATAATTAAAAGTAAGAGACGTACAAGAACTAACATTAATGTTACAGTATATTTTGTAATGTCAATGATGATTTTCATATCTCTAAGGGATGGTTACCACTATCTTCCAAATGGGCCGTTTGCCATTCTAACACGAAAATGGAATAGTTTAAAATTAGGGGACAAAATAATAGGTTAGTTTCGGACAAGGTGGAATTTAATATACTATTAATTCAGGGCCAGTAAGATGACATTACTATAGTGTAAAATTATAAAATCAGCAAACGGACTAAAGCTACAAATTAATGACCATAATTAAAATGCGGATAGCCATATTAATTGCCACCCTGACGGTCAGACAGCGTCATCGTAAAAGTGACAGTGAGTTGTCGTGGAATACGTAAAACTAAGAAAGATAATTGGAGCTGGCATTGCAGCCATTTCATATAAATATCTCATAAGAGATTGTGTTTCCTGCGTATTTCTGTCAACTTTGCTCCTATTAGCAAAGTTGACAGAATAATGGATTGAATGATTATGATTCTAATCATATAATTATATGAATGCCAATTTTATTTTTTACTATTATTATTACAGCCGTTTACTGTCCACTGCTGAACATAAGCCTTTTCCATAAGGGGAGTTTTTCCAGTAGTTGTCATGCTTAGCAAGCGGGTTGGCAGTCGCAATTAGGCTTTTAGAGATGTTTTAAGAAGAACGCTGCTACCCATCCCTCGCCCTTAGCACACCCACGGGAAAAGAAGAGGTGGCCTTTTCTATGCCGGGACATAGAAGGCGATGCGAATGCATATGTGAAAACTGTTTATTGCAGATGGTTTTAATTCTTATATTTCAATATAATGCTGTTCTATTATAATATTTCTTATAATATGCTGTAATATTTCTTTTTTTAACACCAAATTGTGGCTTTATTGAATTTTTATAGCACGGTCCCCATAACTATAATAAAAGATGGATTTATTGCTAGCACTGAGACAGAGTATATTTTTTCATAGCCGTAGACGTGTAATGAACCTACCTACCTTTTAAGCGGATGTATATTTGTTTGTTCTACATATCGTAAATATCAAAGAAATGCCAAACAATGAGATAACAAGGTCATAAATGAGATAATGATGTTAACAGAAATTTTGTTAGGTACTAAAAGCCTTAGGATATTTACTCTACGTATGTTTAGGTATAACTGCTAAAGGTGTAACCATAGATATTAAGAAATTTGGACTTAATGTTTTTATTATGTAGGTAAATGTAAATAAAAAATAATAGCTAAGTGGAAGATGAACTATAAAAAATTAACACGTGAATTGTATTAAAAAAAATGTAAGTTTCTTTTAGCAGTGTTTATTAAAACTTGCCCTCCAAGTTTCTTATTTCCTGTTTCAGTAGTTTCGGTTAAAGTTTAGATTGAAGAAATTTAGACCCTTATCTCATTTCCTACATATATAAGTAAAGAATCTATAATTCTTCCTTCGTATTTTTTTTAAGAAAAAAGTATTTAACGTTTATATTGCCAATAAAAATAGGTACAAAAATTACATAATTACATAATTATAAATCAAACGTTTTATAATTATGTAGTTATCTATATTATTATGGAAACATATATATGTTATGAAAAAAAAATGTTGATATGAACTAGTTCTGTCAAAGCCATGATGACAATAAATTAGCGCACGCCTAATATTATTGTATTTCTTAGCTCTTATGGGATATAAACAATTTAAATCTTAAGTATATAAAAATAAAGTTAATTTTTAAGACTATCATTTGTTTTTTGGAAGAAAGAAATCCGGTTTTTGTTGCCCCTATAAAATAAATGCTGATGATCAGTTAATATCACTCAGATACGACGATCTGAAAATAAACTACAACCATGTACAAACTGGTAAGTTTTTATACCACCCATACAATTGATAATTTAAAAAATTATATAAAAATTAGTCGTGCTTAATTTAAATGTTTATTAAAATAAGTGTAATATAATATAGCGACAAAATATATAAACATGGAAAAAGCAATTTAAACTTTTAATATTAACCAATTTCTTTTAGGCTATCATTGCCGCTATTCTGGGGCTAACCGCCGCCAAACCCGATTACGTGGCATATTCATCACCCGCTGTAGTTAGCGCACCGGCCGCCGTTGCTGCAGCTGTACCTGCTGCTGTGCCAGTCGCACCGACAGTGCGTGTTGCCGCCCCAGTCGTCCCCGTAGCCGCTCCAGCCGTTTCCGTTGCCGCCCCAGCTGTATCAGTTGCCGCCCCAGCCGTTTCTGTTGCGGCTCCGGCTGTTCCTGTTGCGGCTCCAGCTGTTCCTGTCGCACCCGCAGTACGCGTTGCCACCCCAGCAGTAACTTACAGTGCCCCTATCGCACCCGTTGCCTATTCTGCTGCCGCTCCTGTTGCGTATGGTTATGATGCTTACCCATATTACTGGAAGAGACGTTAAAATATTTACTAAAAAAATATTTGTACTATAACACTGTACATTGATTTGCTAATTCAAAGTCTTGCTCTGAACTTAAGTCTGTAATCTGGATCTGGAATAAAACATGAAATAAATTTATCTGCTATATTGTAATTAATGTATTTTATTAATTTCTTATTTAATTTTTTCTCTGAACTACCCCAAAAGTTACACGGTATAATATTGAAATATCACCGAAATTACATCTCATTGTAGGTATATGTATGTAGTATTTCATATAATAATATAACAATAACTATAAAAAAATTTCATCGCATCCTATGATGATAAACGTTACGATGCATTACAAAATTCCAGTATCTACTCTTCGTAATAAATTTTACTTAAACCCAATCACATGATTCTTGATTTTAATACCAAATACCATTAATTGATTACTGACTCTATCGTATATCGTTTCATGATGACACCATCATCATATTAGCCGTTACCTGTCCACTGCTGAACATTAACCTCCCTCATAGATTGCCATAAGAAACGGTACTAAGCCACCTGCATCTATTAACTTCCTGCAATGTACTTGAGGTCATCACTCCATCTAATGGGGGTCGTCCTACATTGTGTTTGCCCGTACAAATTTGCTACTTTCTTACTTATACATATAATATTCTATATTATACATCATTACATATATCCTTCGGGCTATATCGGTCACTTAGTTTTTTTTTATGCAACTTAGAACGACAAATAAGCTGACGGCCCAACCGATTGAAAGTGGTAACCGTCGCCTATAGACATGAGCAGTACCATGTACATAACAGAGTATACTGTTTCACTCATGATACTCTCCATGTGTTGCCATTCCTGAGGACTCAGATGTTATTTCTCTGTACCCTGTAAATTCACTGCCATATCCGACCTTTCAAACCGAAACACAACCATGCAAACACAACTGCTTTACGGTAGAAACACGAATGGTTCTTTTGCGGTTATCCTTATTTTGGATTCTGTCATGCAAAGAAACTCCGAGCTTAGCTCTCTTCGTAGTTCACATAAATAAATTAAAGCTTTTGTAAACGGGCAACTGTATAGGACCATGTTTCGATTCCATAGGTAAACGCACTAGCAACACACACTGGTTAAAAATCTTCGTCTTTAAACGTTGAGATAATTTGGAAAAAAATGAATGTAAGTAAAATATATTATATTTCAACCTAATTATATTTTAGCAAAATCTCGAAAAATACTAATACAGAATACAGAGACCCATACTTAGACCTTCAGGAGTAGTAATGCAAGGCAGTGACAGATATATGTATCGTGGTCACATAATATTTTAGCATGTCCTCGGCACTATGAATATTATAATTTTATTGATCCTAAATGTACATTAACCATTTAAAATATGGCTATGGTTCAAAATGATTGCGATTTGGGTGTCACCGTTGATGATAAATAATTTTGGATAAACACATCATTAACATATTATTTTTTAACTGTTCACTGCAGAACATAAGTTTCCCCATAAGGCGGGCTTTGCCAATAGTTGCCACGCTTGGCAGGCGGATTGGCAACCGCAGTTAGGCTGGAGATGTTTCAAGATGAGCACTGCTGCCCATCCCTCGCCCTTCCTTAGTCGCCTCTTATGACACCCACGGGAAAGGAAGGGTTGGCCTATTTTCTGCCGAAACCATACGGGATAAAGACAGGTAATATTAATTCTAAAGTGAATATCAAAACTTAAAATTTTATATTTAATTTATGCAGTCATCTAAGATATACCAAATACGTAACTGTCAATATAAAATATACAACACAAGCATCGAAAGAATTGAAAAAGTTTCTAGTTATTTACATTATCAAACTCATTAAAAGCTGCCTGATTACGAACAATGTTTTAAATGTTGTCAACACTTTCTTTCAATCACTTGAATTCAGACGAAATGTCAATGACATTTTCTATTTATTAAAAACTATTTGTATACATACTCTATATGCTAAGTTAAAATATAACCTGCTCGTGTATCAAATTTCATTCAAATCCGATTAGTAATTTTTACCTGAAAGATTAACAAACATCCATTCGTTTATCCTTCAATAGAAATTTTCACGTTTATAGTTTTTAATAATAGAATTGCTAACGGATCAATCTATTCCTGGACCTTTTATCTAAATTAAATATTCCTGTAGACTCATTATAGAAGTTCCAGATTATGACCTTTATTAGGTGTAATACACAATAACATGAATTTTAGATAGATAAAGAATTGATTCGCATTAATTACAACACACAAATAACAACAGACATATATAAATATACACAAGAAAAAAGATATAAAATAATAAAAAATAAGATATTTTTTTCTTTTCATGCGTGTGCTTCAGTAACACAAAATGTTCACAACACAGTTTATTACTTTGCTCTGAAAAGAGCAAAACACAAATATATAAACAAAATTCATTTTTAATACGACTATACAAAACTTTTTATAGCCACTTAAATAAATTCAATATAACGGTTGTCTTCAAATATATTACACCTTTAGTAACTTCTTAATATGATCAACAATTTCCTTCGACTTCCTTTTTAAACACACACACAGTTTTATTACACTTTAAAGTATACTAATCCTGATAAAATTATTATGACACTAACATGTAGTGCTGTCTATCTTTTGTAAAAAGAATAAAATAAACACGAATTTCCGAACAAATTAAACTTATTATTTCTCTTAAAAGAAAGAGATTTACCATAGATTTTTTTATATAAATTACAGGCACATGGAATTTAACTGAAAACTATTATTTATGTAAATAATCTTTTCACTTAAATATATTACTAAAAGCAGATACTATTAAAAATTTGGGATATCTTTACATTTGTATAATATTTAGAGCTAATAAACCAAATATATAGTTAATCTGTTTGTTTCTAGCCACTATAATCGTCATTCAATGTGAATATCCTTTTTGTTAAAATGCAAATAGGACGAGTTTATGTTTAAATGACAAAAAATTAGATTATATTATATAATTTATGCATTTCTCGGCCTACGTACAAATATAAGCGATTTGAACCTTAAGTCAAAACGATTAAGATTAGTTTTAACTCTTCTTAACACCACATAAAAGAAAGAGTCCGGTTTGTCCGTGTTCCTATAAAAATCAACGACTATGAGGAATCTAACATCATTCAGTTCGACGGTCTGAAAGCATACAACAACCATGTACAAACTGGTGAGTTATATTCAGCAGATATAATATTTATAAAGTGTGAAAACGAAATGTTTAGCATCCTTTTAAAATAGTTTTCTTCCAATGAAGCTGATTTTTTTTTTGTAAGACATGTGTACAAAAACGACAAAAGAATATCAGGCTCCTATACTAATATTATTCTTACAATCAACTGTCAATTTAATATGAACAGTTAAACACTTTTTAGTTGTATCTACTTTACGTTTTTTTTTTTTTATATAAAATATTTAATTTTACTAACAGAGTCTTTCCTTAAAAGTAAATATATAAAAGAAGAATCTTTTATATTCCTCCGGCTGCTTTAACTAAATATCGTGGCCAGTTGTCGACAAGAAAAAAAAAACTACGTAATAACAAATAACAATTGCTGAAGAAGATATTTTGTTTTTGTTAAATAAGTAATTGTCCACTGAAAATTCATAACAGTATAGTTGCATGAGAAATTTATTTTTTGCTTCAATTAATAAATCAGATATTATATTAAAATAATATTGTTAGTAATTATCATGTGTCAAAATAACTACTTTCAGTTTTAGATGTTGCTATTTAACGTATTTTTTTTTTGTGGTTACCAAAAAAAAAACAATATCTTATTTATTTATGTAAATATTATAATTTTCCACTTCCTTCCATTAATTATGAGACACTTATCTTAAAATATTAATCTTAATTTCAACTAATTAATGTAAATTGATGCAATTGGGTTTAGTGAGTTATGTGCGAGATAAAATAGATAAGTTTTGTTCGCTTTATACCATTATATTCATATTCGTAATTTTTTAACAACTCTCTTTATTTAGATTTAAATCTATTTCAAAATTAAGTTGATTCGTGTTATAATCTTCTATTTTGTAATTTTAACAAACTATAAATATGCTCTACTTTGTGTTATTTATTTAATATAATATGTATAAATATAATTAATAAGAAAATGAATCAAATAACATCAAGGTTTATAGAATGTTGCCTATATAATTTCATTGTTTATATAAAATAATTAACTTTAATTACAGTTATTCGTTGCTGCCATTCTGGGTATTGCCGCCGCCAAGCCTGGCATCTTGGCGCCCGTGGCATACACTTCATCTGTGGCATATTCTGCCCCAGCGGTATCTGTCGCTGCCCCAGCAGTACCAGTAGCAGCGCCAGCTGTCCCCATCGCCACACCAGCAGTGCGAGTCGCCACTCCTGCAGTGTCGGTAGCCGCTCCAGCCATTCCTGTTGCCGCTCCAGCAGTGCCCGTCGCTACTCCCGCTCTTCGTATCGCCGCCCCAGCAGTCGCCACTCCAGCTGTTGCCGCTCCAGCTGTTGCTGCCTCAGCTATCACTTACTCTGCCCCAGCATACCAACCATTGGCTTACTCAAACTACGCCGCACCGTACTCATATGCCTACGATTATGGATATGGCATTGACGCTTACCCATCTTACTACTGGAAGAAACGTTAAATATTATTATTATTGAATTCCGTAAACAGGCTACCAAAATGTACAAAAAATTATAATAAATTACTACTTAATACTATTACTGTTTAGTATTTATTTTAGAAATCCATTATTTCTTTTGTAACTAGGATACCTATATAGTCATCATTCTATAAACCTTGATGTTATTTGATTCATTTTTTCATTAATCATTTCTTATTTTCATTACATCTTTTATAAATACAATAATTTGGATAATAATTTGATAAGTGTGAAAATTATTCTAAAAATTTAATCAAGTTCACACGTCTTGACCTGACCACTTTATTTTACATAATTCTACAGTTTGTTATGATTGCTATTTAAATTAATTATACGTAAATATTAATTTAAAAGAGTAAGCACTATACAAAAGAACAAAATAATACTTTTGGACACTTATTATATACAAATAAAAATTCATTAATATTACATGGCTGGATACGATTTCTTCCTATAAAAGAAAGATATTAACTTATTATTATAACTGTAGTCAAGCGGATTATAAGATTATATTTCTAGTTTACTCTAGTCTTTTTACATTTTAAACTAGTGCAAGAGTAGAAAAACTAGAAATATAATAATATAAACTTTATTTTTCTAATCACTTCTAGACATCTTAAGAATGGATCTTAGTAGTAATACATTTTATTTTTACTATCGAAATATGTTCATTAACTGATTCAATAAGTAGCCAATGTCCTCCTACGTACTAACTTATATACCAAGGTGGAAAAGAATTGTTAATAATGAGGACTAATGCCCCCATTGCTAACAAGCCTTGTCAGGTCGACCTCCAGGCGTTTTTTTTTTGCATTCATCGCATTCGTCAGAATGGGCTAATTGACCTGCTTTCATGCTCATCTCTCACTGGTATCACGCCAACGTATACCGATAGTGCAGGCGGGGTTACTATTTCATTATCCATTAAAAAAAATATAAATGTCAAACTTCATAACAATTAGTTAAGCTATTTGCAAGTTAACAAACAAACTCACTTTTACATTTATGATCTTAGTAAATATTATTAATATGACCAAAAATCAGTTCATATTAATTGATTAATTATAATAATATGTCCTTTCCGACCGGGTGATTTGATCGTCAGTTTTATCGCCATCGACTTTCAAACATAGAATACATAAATATAAATTTATAATTATTATGTACAAAGTCCAGAAAAATGTTACATAACATTTTTGTTAACATTTACATGCAAAATATTATGTATGTAATGCGAAATATAAAATAACTTTGCATAAATTACTAGGGTTTGATACAAGTATTCAACACAAAAATATCTGTTGGTAACAATATTTGACATAATGTACATACGTTCATTATGTTTAATTTACAAAATAAATATTTTATTATTAGATAATAATACTAGGTATTTCATACCAATTTAAGTGTGAATATTCTCCCTCCCTACGATACCCTCATTACGGTAAAAAAACTGTATATGTATATTAAATTACAATTTTCAAAAAGCTTTACTTGAAGAAATTATATTAAAAAATAAATCCACTCATGTATCACTAAGTAATGCAATTATTCCATCATGGTTAATTTCTAGTAAACTGACTTGCTTTCATTCTCACCTAGTACCCCCTAATACCCTGCCTGCGTAAACCAATGATAACAATACAAGGTTACCTCTTAATTTACATTCAATTAAGTAAATCAAACGATCAATTCCAAGAATCCTGTGTCCAGGCGATCCATATTTATAGACAACTCTATCATCATCATCTTCCTACCCTTATCCCAATTATTATTTAAGGTCGGCGTAATATGTTGTTATCCATATTACAAAAAGATTTGGCTTATAGTTTTACAATCGGCCGCCTGCCTGACGTCAATCCTCTTTGTGAACAACAAGATATAGACAACTCTATATGGGTAGTAAATACTGATGTACATAAACCAATTTCAGATATACATGTACACCACATTCATTTAAAAATGCTCTGTTTAAATAATAATATTATAATAATTAAACAATTAGCCACAGATTATGTCTCAAAATTATCACTGTATTATCACTACACAGTATAAAACAAAGTCGCAGTCGCTGTCTGTCCGTCCCTATGTATGCTTAAATCTTTAAAACTACACAACGGATTTTGAAGCGGTTTTTTTTTAATAGATAAAGTTAAAGATTAAGTGATTTAAGAGGAAGGTTTATATGTATAATACATGCATAATATTCTAGAGAAACACTGATAAATTTAGAAATTTCTAATGTGATGTAATGTAATGTGTAACCGTGCGAAGCCGGGGCAGGTCGCTAGTGTGATATTTTTTTTTCATTGTAAACATCTGTCTGTCCAGTTACTTCTTTTTTTATCTAGCGTAACCTTGAAAACCTCTTTATGCAAAATTAAGTCTAATATTCAAAATTCTAACAACATTGAAAAAAAAATTAAATATAGACCGTGAAACAAGTCATTAAGGACTGTTTTATCAATATTCAAGAATAAAGTAAACTTATCTGTGATCATATATATATTGCTCATGACATACGATCTGTATCATTCTGTTTCCAGAATTTGACAGACAAACGCAACCATGTACAAACTGGTAAGTAAAAAATAATATAATGTTATATACGTAGTGAATTATCTATCAACTAAGTTACTTTCGTTTTATTCAAAGAATTTTTACGCAGCTTAGAACGGTATATTTTCCGTCAATAATAGTCTTAAAGATATCAAATGATGAAAAATACTGCACACAAAGAAAATATAGATATTTAAAAATATGTTGTTTTAAAATAAATAAGCTGGACTGACTAGATGTTTTAACAGAATTTAAAAAAAAAAAATGTACTCGGGTACTACTTGTATCTATAATTGCATTTCCATATAATCACACCATTATGTTAAATTCTTAATTCCTTGTGAATACATCACTACGAACTAACTGACTTGACTTATTTTTCACCTTCCATGGTACCTCGTCTTTATAAACCAAGAGCACAGATATGTTTACCGTTCTTATAACATCTATGAAAAACATTTTTAAAAAATAAAACAAAATTTATAAACAATCCTTGTATTCGAAAATGTCAATAATTTAACTTTCCAACAATTTAGCAGCTATCGAAGATATTTTCTTTTTATTTAAAATTCAGATAATTTGTAGATATTTTCACTTGAAGACATGATGATGATGACATGAGAAGATTGAAGGTAAATATTAATCACATCTATTATTTTAATTTAATATTTTAATTGTTATAAATTGCAGTTCGTCTTAGCTGCCGTCCTCGGACTCGCCGCTGCTAAACCCGGTATCTATGGCTACTCTGCACCAGCTGTAGTTGCCGCCCCAGCACTGGCTGCTGTCGCCGCTCCCGCCATCGCCGCCCCCGCCATTGCCGCTTCCGCCATTGCCGCTCCCGCAGTCGCCGCTCCACTAGCCGTTGCCGCTCCAGCCGTCGCCCCCCTTGCCTACTCTAGCTACGCTGCCGCCCCTATCGCTTCCCTCGGATATAGCGCTGGTCTCGGATATAGCACTGGTCTCGGTTACAGTGGTCTTGGATACTGGAAGAAATGAAAATTCTAGTCCCAAACCAATTCAAATGGTCATTTGATTCTAAACATACCAATATTTATGCCATAAAATAAATTGTTTTCATAGTCGAAACCTTGTTTTATTAATTTATTTTCTAAAATAATTATTTTTCTAGGTTAATCTGTTAAATAGATTAAATATATATATATATATATATATATATATATATATATATATATATATATATATATATATATATATATATATATATATATATATATATATATATATATATATATATATATACTACTACAAATTAAATAATTAAAATCTTAATCATGAATTCAGTATCAAGTTTAATTATGCACTTACTCTTCCAGATGCTAATCTGGAATAGTAAATGTAAAATTGCTAATCTGCAAGAATAAACGTAAAATTACATTTCATATTAAGTTTTTGTTTTCGGCAGAGAAGAAATTCATACGAGTATATCTTACTTTTATGAATTTATTTTACTACATTAAATATGATGCATTAAAAATTTGAGTCAACTCGAATTTTTAAAAAATTAAAGAGTGTTTTAAGAGCCGTGACATCATTATAATTATTAATTTGAAATAATATGTTATTTTAAACTAGGTGTTTTCGCAATTTTACTCTCGGGTTCATTACATAACATACTCGTAATCTGTCATTTTATTATATAAAGAATTTCTGTGCACTACTTAATTTATCTAAACTGCAAGCAAGTCATTAAGCTTTGATCGTACGTCGATCAATCAGTCAATCAGTAGTTAGTTATTCCTTTTATACGTATAGTTGATGATAATAAAAACTATAAAACACTAAATTTGACGGAATATCATTATATTGCCATTTTTAACAAGGTCGGCTTGTTAATTCGAAAGACGATACTGTGCCCGGCTAGATTATTTAAAATCGGTAAATACATTATAATCAAGATGAACTAGTTATTAACGACTACCGTAAAATCAAAAATAGAATTGTGTAGGTTACGCTCTTGTTTTGATTTTATTTAAATGGTTATCTTATACTGTCAAGATTGTCTATACCAAATGTTTAAAATTGTAGACATAACTTGCTGCCCGAGTTTTGTATTTTTGATCTCGATAATATGTTTTCCCGTAATAAAAAGTACTCTTAATGTTATTCCTTGTTAACATCTTAAGTTATCACCACACAAAATGTTATTTACATATCATTTAGTAACGGTTTTTGTAGAAAAAAATACAAACATTGTCTAATTATAGTTTTAATATATGTATATGTATTCACAGACGAGAAAACAAAATTAAATAACAGAAGATTGTGTTCCAATAAAATAATCTACTTAAATTGTGGAAAAATCTATTATTTTGATTTTAAAACTAAATTACGAAGATATTTTAATAAAATTTCTGTAAGACCAATCTGTAAGTATATCCTTAGGAACAACGAAACAAATTTTCCATATTACAAAGTACCAAACATAAAAAAATACAACCGAATTGACAACCCCTTTTTTTTGAAGTCATATGAAAATGTCACATTATTTTCTCTTTCATGCCTAATAGTGTGTTAGTGACGAATACTACAACGATATATGCGAAAAATGCGAATGTCCTCCAATATTTTACAAATCTTGACTCAGCCATTGGATCTAGTTTTGGTACATCCGCCTTACGATAGTAAATAGAGCAAAGAATAGATTATTTATGATCTCTTGGGACATTAATAATATATATGATTACGTAGTCATGTTGTACGTAAAGAAACAAGTATTGGTAGCGTATAAAACTAGATATACCTACTTAGAAAAACACTTGTTGACATGTACCAAATGAATGACAGGCTGATTTACCAACTCACAGGCTAAGCCATAAAGATTAGAAACTTAAAATTTTGAATATTCTAAAAATTACTTTTATAAATTAAATGTACATTGAGAAAAAGAAGAATTTCCTAAAATTCTTATTTAAACAGCAGATAAATAAATAGTACTATGCGACTGAACGCGTAATAAAAACGTAATTATAAATATGTGTATTTCTATTATATATAATTTATTTTATTTATTCTCTTGCGGTGACTCATTTTATTTTAAATACACTATCAAGACTTAACACGACGAAAATTGCAGGTAAATAGTACCTATATACCTGATTTTTATTGCTGACGTTTCATTTTCATTTAATTATTTTCTCAGTTTTATCAGCTTGAATCTTAATATTTAACCAAATATTAAAACAAATATTTGTCAGCTAAACAATACAATTTTACTCGTAAACTTCACAATTTACTATACAGCTATGTTTGGCGTTAATTTTGGATTATATAAATGACATTTTTATTCAGTCTTTAAAGGTTCAGAAACTTTGAGTAGGTAATTATGCTTTTTATTATAAGTCTATAACAAAATTAATTATATTAATATAATAATATGACATATGTAAGGGAAAACCGGGAGACTTGCCCAGGTAGGAGAGTTGAACCATCTTTCAAAATTGTATTTAAACTTAGCTTTAACGAAACGTCAATACGATCATTAGTCACATGCGGTCTGATCATGGCTGTTTTCTTTAGCAATGAAAATTTAAAATATGATTATGTTGTTTCGGAGTAATTTTTTTTTTATTTAAGTATCTTTCTGATTGCTGTCATATTTACTGAGGTACGTATTGTGTGTTATTATTTTTATATAACCAGATAAATACGGTTTGACGTGTGCTAAGTGATTTTTCTCTACGATCAGAGGTTTTTATATTCTATAAGCTAAATGCAAAATTAATGTGAGCAAGAGAGTTGCACCAGGGTGAATGCGGGAGACATGCTCAGTGGTTCAAATTTCCCTTTGTAGTAGTTTCATTTAAATGATTTTTTTTGTTTGTTTTAATTTTATATTTTTTATTTACAGTACCTACTTATACAATGCCCTTTCAATACAAGCCTCTTAAAAATGCTCATAAACAAAAACAATACACAAAAACGGAGTTGGAAAATGTCATACATAAAATTAAGAAAGGATTACTATTAGAATTTCAAACAATCAAAAATTTGAAACAAGTAGGCCGTATGTTCCCGGAATAGAATAGGCCATCCCTTCTTTTCTCGTGGGTGGCGCGAATGGCGATTAAGAGAGGGCAAGGGATGGGCAGCAGCGTCCCTTGCTCAACAATGGACCGTTAAGGGCTAATATGATAATGCTATAGATAGAAGTATATTAAAATGATACAAATTAGATAAACATAAAATTCATGAGTTTGTAGAAAAAAATTATTCAGTATAAAGCATCCGAAGAAAACTTCTTGTTAATTATTCATTATCATGTAGTTAAAATATTAACAAAGACTGATAATTACAAAGTTTGATAATATGTTATCTGAATTAATGTTAGTAATTACGTTAAACGTGTTTCAACCGTGAAGCAGTTGTGTTTGCAGGGCTGTGTTCCGGTTTGAAGGGTGGGATATGGCGTGAGTTTACTGGGTACAGAGGAATAACACCTGAGTCCTCAGGAATGGCAACGCATGGGGGGGTATCATGGACAAAACAGTATACTCTGTTATGTCCATGGTACTGCTCATGTCTATAGGCGACGGTTATCACTTTCCATCAGGTGGGCCGTCAGCTTGTATGACATTCTAAGTTGTATAAAAATTTTTTTTTGAGAAAGATATAAAATAAAAAAGTATATTAATCTACTGATACTGATAATTGACAGCAAATTATTAGAAATAAGTTAATAATAAAAACAAAAATAAATAAGTACTAACATGTTTGTTTAAAAAGGTTATAATTGTTATTTTGTTTATTTTAGAACATTTTGTTACTAAAAATACGAAATTTTTTCCCTTTTTGCTTTTTATTTTCTAAGAGTACTAAGAGCAAGTTAATAAAATTATGATGCATATTGAAAATGTTTTTTTTTTACCAAAAATAGTAAGCTCAACCCTCTCCATAACCCGGTTCAAGTATCCCAACGGGTGGGGAGACTTGACTCATATCTTATTTTTTATTAAAACGGTAATTAAATTTTATCGCATGTTATATTGAAATAATTAAAATTATGTACAAATGTACCTACTAAAGTAAGGTACCTCAAAAATGTGTAATTGATTCTCTAAACTCAATAAACAAGAAATTATGATGTTATTTGTAAAAAGCGGTTCTACTCTCCCATACTACCCCTATACTTATCTAATATTTTTGCTTATCTTATCAATAAATAGAAAAAGACATTAAGTTCATCATATATACATATTTTACTGTGTGCAAAAGAATAAATAAATAAAATATTAATCAAAATAGACGGTTTTTAACAATAGCAGGCAACCTAAGACATTGATAAAGTAGATGAAGATTCGGTAATATGAGAAAGAAAGAACGAAACAACTACATAAATATTTGAAACAGTGTCAGTTTTTATACAAAAGGATAACCATTTTACACCATTATGGTGAGTGTCAAGCGACTATACGACCCGCCTGATGATACCACTAACCGCTATATAACACTAACCGCAGCCTATATATGAATTTCGTATATGGGCATTACTTGCGCGTACCAACATAACCTAAACTTACCTAAACCTAGATCGTAAAATAAACTCTATCGATTTAAAATGGAATTATTAACGTAGGATTCAGAATTTACAAAGATATTGCATATTATTTGTACAAATAATTAAAGATTATATGCCAAAAAAACCGACTTTAATTATAAAAGAACCAGTTATTTTGATCTAAAAATTAAACTATTAACTACTAATATCAGTTTATTGATAAAATTTCTATAGGACTAATCTGTAAGTATGCCCTTTCAGATAAACAAGATTTTCCAGATCGGTCTAGAACTGAGAGAGTTATGAGGTAACAAACATAAAAAAAATACAACTGAATTCTGATTTCCATTTAATAAAACCGACAAGGCTAATAAAATATAGGCCCCACTTTCACATGTTTTCGTTTCAGAGTTTACTATCCTGTATTTATTTTAAGTTTGGTAATATATCAACCTTATTAATGTCTTATCCTAACTTATTATTATAAAAGTGAAAGTGAGTTTGTTTGTTTGTTACGCTAACTCAACGTCTTAACCAATCACTATGAAATTTGGTACATATGTGTAAAGGATTCAGGCTACTTTTTATCTCAGTCATGCGGACAAAGTCGCAGTAAAAGCCAGTTTATATTATATTACGATTGCGATAATTTTTAACAATGGATAAATGATTGGGTGTTACTCATTCACACAAAAACGACTGAACGGATTAAAATGAAATTGTTTGCACGAGTAGGTTGTTACCTATCTTAATAGATAGGATACTTTATACACTTATTTACGCTGCTGTGAGATAATAACTAGCTGATAGTTTAAATATGAATGTGAGTTTACTATTTTTTGACATCTTAACTGCTCAAACAATGATCCCGAAGTTTGGAATACACATACTATTTGGAAATAGATTTTATTACGGTCAATCAAAATATCATGATTACACCGAACTACAGCCCTTACAATTTATGTTTAGTTAATAATTTATTAACAGTATTGACTTCGATCGACCGTACTTACTAAGTGACTTTCATTTCTGGTTGTGGTTTATGGGCAAATTTGTTTATTAACCTTGAAAATAAAAAATAAATTAGGCGTATTTTAAAATTGTAATCCACATTGTTTATTAAAAGTTTAATTTCAAACCTTGAGTTGTTGTAATAAAGGTCAGTTTGTAAGTAAAACAGTTACTACATGTGAAATTAATGCTGACTCTGTGCGATCGTATAAAAAAGGCTTGGTAACAGCATATAGCATCATTCAACTTTGAACAGTCTGAACTGAAAATACCAACATGTACAAATTGGTAAGTTTGTATTTAATTTTGTTATAAAAGGGCGCTACCTAGATTCAATATAAATGATAATGAAGTTGTGAGTTCCCAACACCTATTTAATCTTCTTATTTGTAATATCTAAATTTCAATCTCGATATTCAAGCTGATTAAATATTTTCGGTATTTACGGATTAAGTAGTCTAAGAATTAAACTCGATATTTTTATATTTTTAAATTTATTTTTATAGTATTTATTTAAAGTGTTAGGAAAAATACTTATTTGTTACCTAATTTATATTAATTACTATATTAGTCGAATGCGAACATAATATGAAAAGTCGACATAATAGTATTCAATTATATTAAATTAGCTTATAATATATAAATACATTAAAAATGCGGAATAGGTTATTAACTTAAATATATACAATTTCAGTTCTTCTTCGCCGCCATCCTTGGCTTCGCTGCCGCTAAACCCGGCGCAATATTTAGCTATGGAGCTCCCGTGGCCACAGTCGCTGCACCATCATTAGCCTACGCTGCGCCAGCAGTGGCCGCTCCAGTCGCCCTTGCCGCCCCAGCTGCCGTTGCCGCCCCAGCCGCCATTGCTGCCCCAGCCCTCGCTTACCCTGGCTACGCTGCTGCTCCCCTCGCCTTCTCTGGATACAAATATGGTCTCGGATACGGCTACGGACTTAATGGTTACTGGAAGAAGTAAAAAATTGAACCCGACAAATAAGACAAATGACAAACGGAATATGCGATAGAACTATTTAAAAACACTGTGATATAAATAAAAATATATCACAATATACTATTTTTTTTTTATTTTTTTGTAATGTTTTTTTTTATAACATGTAACCCATCTTGTAAAAATAGTAATCACCACCTATTGATCTGCAGTTAGGGTGTAACAGTAGTAGGGCTTAGTAGACTATTGCAGTCTACTAAGCCCAAGTGTCCTTGTTACCTTACCATTCCTCAGGAATAATACTGTCGTATTAAGGTTTTCCTCACATTTAAAGTTCTTTAAAAATAACTTAAGACCTCAAAACTCGTAATTCACTTAAATGGTTAACGAAATTTGTTGATAATTAGTTGTCTATGTTATGAATTTTTAACAATTATCCCGAATAAATTAGTTCTTATAGGTCTTATTTTTTTGTTAATAATCTTAATTATTGTAAATTCTTAGTATCTTAATCCTTTCTAAAACCAAGTTGCCTTGTTGGATACTCAGAAAAACTAAAAATAATTACGTATTTAATTAAAATAATCAAATCTTTTTATTGAAAACTAATTGATACATCGTTTTTCTCATTACTATCGTAAAAAATATTATATATATATATATATATATATATATATATATATATATATATATATATATATATATATATATATATATATATATATATATATATATATATATATAATTTTTAGCTGTCGTAGCTTTTTTTTCTTTTGTTAATAAGTAATGTACAGTTATATAAAACTTGCTTACTTGTGAACTATTAACTGACAATATGGATTAGTAAAAGTAAAACTTATAACAATATATGCTTAATATACATAATTATATGTAAAGAGTTTTATAATATATTTATATTGTCATTCTAAGCTGCATAAAAATATATTTTTTATTTATTTTTTTATTTATTTATTCTTTATTGTACACAAAAAATTATGACATATAGTATATATAAAATAAAGATGTATTATATGTAAAGAGTTTTATAATATATTTATATTGTCATTCTAAGCTGCATAAAAATATATATTATTGGATAGATAATTTAATTATTAAAAATACATGCCTTTGGTGTGAATTGCTGTGAAATAGCTGGGAAGTAATGAACAAACAACAATGTCACTAATTTAAAAAAAAAATTATCCATTATAAATAGAAAATTATATATATTGATATATTGGTATAATAAATATGATACATTGATAAATATAATCATAGTCAAGTTTAAGATCCGCATTAAAGAAATTGATAATCGACGCCATTTTCTTAAATGAATGTAATTCTTTGTTTATGTTGCCCAAAATTGCTCTTATTATCCTCTTCAGATAGAATTAAACTCATTATAACGGAAATAGGACAAATGGCTATAAGTATATCTGATTAATAGAAAAAGAAATAGAAATCTGATTAAAAGAACAATAAATGCTTTTTTATATTGAATTCTTCTCAAGCAGTAGTTGCTTCTTACATTTTAGCAGGCGTTATCTTACTTAAAAACAACTAAACAGTTGTTTGACGCACTAAGAATTGTTTCAATTATGACAATTTAATCTCGATCTATTTTATCTTTAATAAATACTTATTTAAAACAACTAGATAAACAGAAAAACACCTAAATAAATACCTATACCTATACATATATACAGTTTGACGCACTAAGAATTGTTTCAATTATGACAATTTAATCTCTTGGATCTATTTTATACTTTAACTAGAACAGTATAGAGTTCATTTAGATCGAATACAGTAAACATTACAATTTAATTAATATGTGTATGCATTTCACGCAGGAAAATTTATTTAACGTTAATTACACCTTTTTTACATTAATTCATCAATTTGTAAAATAAATCAATTATGAAACCGTCCCTAGAGAAGCAAGGCAAGAGAAAGCACCTTAATCTCAGGCTTTGCCTATTTTAGTGGTCAGAGGCTTTTACTTTAATTCGCTAGATTTTAATCTATATAGTTTACATTAATAGAATGAAGATCTTGAAAAAGAAGCAGAGGAATTATGCTTGTTTGCCTCCTCAGCGATATAATAACAAAGGAGTCACGTTGTTCTATAAATGTAAATATTATCAACGTCTCAGATTTCTGTTAACCTCAATATACTATTAATTAAACTATACTCTAAATTAAGAACATTAAACTTGTCATTAGATTAACCTTGGTTAAATACATTTAAAGTCAAAAATATATATTGTTTTGCATTTCTTAGTCCGTATAACAGAAAAATATAAATAAAATTATCATATAATTATAATTAGTGGGACGTAAACACGATTTGATGAAAATTATATAAATTAAGCGTTTGATATGATCCTGAGATCATTTTGTTACGACAGTCTGAAATCAAAGCACAGTCATGTACAAAGTGGTAAGTTACATTGTATTATTGTATTTAACAATATATTTACTATGTATAATAACTAAGTAAATTTATCAGACAATTAATTAATTAAAACTATAAATAATTTATAAGTACCATAAGATTCTAGATTTATATATTTTACTTATAAAATCTGTTTTTCTTTTACTCGACTACAGGAGAAAAAAGTACAGATATTTATATAATTTTCGAATTTTTTGCGCAATGAATAGCCTAAATGGTTTCAATAACAATGTTTCAAAAATTCCTCTCAGCTGTGGGGAGCCTTTCTATTTAGCTATGTATATTTATTTCAAAGTTTTTTTATACCACTGAGGTGGCAAACAAGCATACGGCCCACCTGATGGTAAGTGGTTACCGTAGCCCATTGTGACAGTGACAAATCACTTTAATATTTTAAACAGGTTTAATTTCCGCTTTTTTTATTAAAACGATAAGACTCTGCTGAGACTATTTACTTTTATTATTGTTACACTTTAATAATATTAACTAACCATCATTTCAGTTGATATTCGCCGCTATCCTTGGACTTTCCGCCGCGAAGACGAAGCCCATTGGATTATATGACTATGCTGCTCCAGCCGTTGCATACTCCGCTCCAAATGTAGCAACTATTGGTGCCCCAGCAGCTGCTGTTGCTGCTCTAGTTACCACATACGCCGCCCCGGCATCCGCGGTTGCTGCCCCAGTAACCACCTATGCTTCTCATGTACCTGCCACCTACTCCACCCCTACAGCAGCTGTTTCCGTCCCTGCTGCTGTGGCATATTCTGCTCCCACTGCAGCCTTTGCAGCCCCTGCGCCCGTCACATACTCTGCCCCAAATGCTGCCTTTGCCGCCCCAGCAGTTGCGTATGCTAGACCCTTAACGGCTGCCCCAGCAGTCTCTTACGCGAGACCCTTAACAACTGCCCCGACAGTCTCTTACCCTAGAACCTTTTCGGTTGCTCCAGCATTTTCTTATCCTAGACCTACCCCAGCAGTCTCTTATGCAAGATCCTTAACGGCAGCTCCAACAATCTCTTACCCTAGACCCATAACGTCTGCCCCAGCAATCTCTTACGCGAGTCCCATCACAGCTGCCCCTGCCATCGCTTATGCTAGACCTTATCCGGCTGCCGCAGCAGTGCCTTACCCGAGACCGTTAACGGCCGCTCCAGCAATTTCTTATGCAAGACCCGTAGTAGCCCAACCCGCTGTTACTTCAGTTGCACCTGCTCCAGTAACTTACGGCGGCTACGCTGCTACTCCTGGATATGGCCCCGGCGTTTACTCTGGATACGGCCCCGTCGCTTATTCTGGATATGGTCCTGTAGCTTATTCTGGACATGGTCCCGTAGCTTATTCTGGACATGGCCCCGTAGCATATTCTGGACAAGGCCCCGTAGCTTATTCTGGACATGGCCCCGTAGCTTATTCTAGATATGGCCCCGTCGCTTATTCTGGATACGGAAATGGTGTGTCAAGTTACTTGAAGTGAAGAGTAATTTTCTAGTCAGTAGATATACGCACAAACTTTTAGAATATTAACTAGGTATGCTTATTTTCCTAATTTGTCATAATTTATAAATGTGATATAGTGTAAATGTCTGTTAGGAATATAAGTAAGACAATTTCTTTTATTTATTTTTGTATACGAAAATTATGTGAATTTATAAATTAATGTTATCAAATTAGTAGTGTAATTTAAATTATTTGTCTTTATTATTTGTTTCTGCAATTACTTTCATTATTTATTTGTTGCTTGTTTTTATTTATTTTGTTAAAAAAAAAAAACATAAAAATATAAACTTTTCTGAAATACTCTTTACTGATTTTATTCATGCCTCCAATATATCCAATCTTTATACTTTATACACTCATAGCAAAAATTATGAAAATATAATTATCACTTATTGATCGAATTTATAAGTCTATATTTTAAGAGTAATGTAATACCTACTGTATAGCAATACCTACTTGTATATTATATACTAGTGGTCGCGCAATGATAGAAATTCGACCAAAATATATATTGTAATAAATTATTTTATTATGGTTATTTATTTATTTATTTAACTCTTTATTGCACTATAAATACAAATATACAATGACAAGTGAATAATTCAAGTGAAATACAGTAACATAAATACAGATTGAAATATACACATAAAGGTACAAAAGGCGGTCTCATCGCTAGGGCAATCTCTTACAGACAACCTTTGGATAAAGTACATTTTGACATTCAGTAAGACTATAGTCAAATAATATTAAAGACAATATTACAGATTAATATTGTTATACTTTAATGCTGTTGTTGACTTTAACAATTAACGAAAGAGTATATATATGCGTGTGTGTGTGTGTGTCAAATACATGGTAGTGTGTGTAATACTTTTTTTATTTATTTAATGTATTTTATGCATAATTAAATAAAAATATTTACATTCTGCACTCCTTACCCATATAAACTATAAGTGTGTGAAATTTCATACTCCTTTGTTAGCGTAATTTTCTTAAAAAAGGGAACAAAGTTTTTGTTTTACGTATTAATATATAGATAATGAATTCAGAATTTTTTTCCATTCAAATGAGTTTTTAATTCAATTTAATAACAACTTATTGTTATAAGATCTGTTATGAACAGATTGATAGATTAAGCATAATAAATGCCTTGCACACTACCTACATGCACGCAGTGAATTTTATATATATATATATATTATTTTTTTTATTTTTTGGCAACTTAGAGTAGCAAATACGCTGATAGCCCACCTAATGGAAAGTGGTAACCGTCGCCTATAGACATGAACAGTACCATAGACAACAGAATAGTATGTGTCGCCCTTGATGCCTTCCTTTAGTATATTAATAATAAGTGCTACACAAGTACATTAACTGCCTGGTTCTCAAGTTACGATGCCCTGAATTATAAGAAACTAAGCAACGAATACGTGGAGGCACAACTTAGAATGCCCAGACCCGAGTCAATTTAGAACATTTCCTTTTCTAAATTGACCCGATAGAGAATCGAACCCAGAACCTTATTAACACAAAACTAACTGCATGTCTCCGCACTACGGACATCATTGTATGCAAATCCTATTTGTTCAATCTATACCCTAAACATACTATTCGAATATAACCACAGTAAGAAGTAGGCGTGCTCAACACTATATGTCATGTCTACCAGGTAACCGGAGACAAGAATACTTAACAACAAATATAACTGGCGATGCCACTTTTTGGCATTAAACGTTAAATTAGAATAACGTGATTTTTATTATAACGGATTAAAACTATAAATAATTGTAACTATGAAAAGTATACAAACGAGTTTCCTGTTGTTAAAGTAAAATGCAGGATATCTCCAACTAATACAAGTATATAATAATAATAAAATATGAAATTCTATAATACAGTAGAACAAGAGAGTCAATAAGAAAAATATTATTTAAACTAGATTAAGTTGAATGCCAAATAAAGATAGTTCGTGTACTATTTTTGGTAATATCGTAATCTGATCCTTTAGTATCAATGTTTCATCGTCAAATTATATCAATATTAATTAAATATCATAGATTAACAATTAAAACAACATTCAAATAGAAATTTCTCTCTTCTTTTAATTATAGAAAAGCTAATTTTAGGAGCTTCATCTATCAATCTGAAAATCTATTTTGTCTCATTTTGATTACAATTAAAACAAGGCGTAGTCGAGTATTTCAAAATATATGAAAGGAAATATATGTACTAGCTAAGTTTTTTTTTTTAACTAAGTTTAGTTAATCTATTGTTAGTAATGGAGCCTGTATAACTGTATTGCTACCGCCTACTATTTGAAAGATCTAAAGTTTTATTCATTTTAAAACATACATTGTACTTTGTACAGTTAAATAACAGACTGATTTTCCAGGTATACGTACTACAGTTCTTATAATAAACTACTATTTTCGTTTGATTAAACAATATAAAATAATTTTATAAAACATTTACACATTTAATACCTAAAAGTCTTCACTCTTTATTTCTATTTTTAAAATTATGAAAAGAAATGCGCTAGTAAAATATTTTCATGAGTATAAAAACTTAGTTTATATATATAAAACAAGTATCACTTGCAGTTAAATTAAATACTTTGACTTTTAAATAATTAAAAAAACTGTTATTTTAATATGTACGTAACTTTATTATTTTTATATTGGGAATAAATAAAGATTATGTCTCATAGAAAAAACTACTTCAATTTTGACAAAACCAGTTATTTTTATTTACAAACTTAACTATTGAATCAATTTAAATATTTTTTTATGGAACCAATTTATATCTATTTATCCTTGCAGAATAAAAAAAGATTTTTTAAATCGATTTAGAACTTATGGAGTTATAAGGTAACAATCATAAAAAGAAAACAACCGAATTGAGAACCTCTTTTTTTTAATCGGTTTAATAGTAAATAACTAAGTCAAACCAAGAAGAATCAATGTTTAAGGTAAAACACCGTAGTGGAAGCGTTTTATAAGGGAAAGATTCTGTCTGTCGAGGAGGACTAACCTGGCATCGGCTTCGTGAGTTTTTCTACTGTAGGTGATCGGCAGTTCTTCCTCAACTTCACAGGTTCTTCAGAGTACATACAGTTTAAAACACACAAAGTACATTTGTTTTACAGGAACAAACGTCCGCGCACACGCCACCATTCAGTCAGTACCTTTTTTTTTCATTTAATTAAGGTCGGAGAAAAATAATATTGACGGACTCCAATATTGTAAACAATCTGTGTTTTATTACAAAGGGATTAAGGCTTTTAAACAATCAATATACGTATATTTTCTAATGTAACAATTACTGAACAAATATATAAAATATTATGTAATTAGATGCCTATTTATGACTCCATATAATTCGTACACCACATTTTCAAATGTTCTAAAATTATCAATCTATATTGTAAGCTACGATTGATATGCTAAAAATCACCTACTTATTTTAAATTTATTCAGATAGTAAAAATAACAAGTATATTATTCATATCAGCCTTGACAATATTTTTTGACGTTAGATTTTTTATTTTATATTCGGAAAAATGTAAATTGAACCGCGAATCGAAAGGTTAAAGTTCATTTTCTTAATAATGCAATCAGAATTTAAAAGAGGAGTCCGGTTTCGGATTATCCTATAAAATAGGTAGTTCAGACGAACCCATCAGCATTTAGCTGCGATAGCCCGCAAACTAAGCATCATGTTCAAATTGGTAAGTTGCTTTAAGACGATTTGATATCACAAGACGGTGCATATTAAAACTATATCATACACACAGTATATGTACATACAAACACACACAATCTGTCATCAATATTATTTATTAAACATAAAATTATAATATTTCACGAATATATATAATTTTATCCAAAGCATAGTATTTACTAATGAACATACTAATTTAAGAACACTAATACAAGAATATAACTACTTACATTATTGAATACGGTTCACTGCACACGTGCTATATAAATAATTTTCATATATTAAATCTGTTTTTATAAAGCATATTGAAAAAAAATCCCTACTTTCTATTTAAACATACATAAGTACTTATTTAACAAGCGTATCTAAATTAGAAACATATTATCATATCATATGATATTTATAATAATTTAGTGCAAAATTCTTAAAATTCTATTAATATTGTAAATTAAAATGTTTGTATATAATATTTAGATAATTATTTTATCAATCGTGCTTAAACCGAACGAATTTGATTTAAATTTATTAAGGACATAAACAGACCACATTCTAGTTTAGCAGATAAGTTGTATCGTAATAATGACAACATTTTGTCTTCTGTTACATTTCAGTTCTTCTTTGCTGCCGTCTTGGGCATTTCCGCCGCTAGCCCCAGCGGTGTATTAAGCTATGGTGGATCCTATGGCTACGCTGCCCCAGCAGTGGGTTACGCGGCACCGGCTTTGAGCTATGCCGCCCCAGCTGTCACAGCTGTAGCCACCCAAGCTGTTGCCGCTCCAGCTGTCGCAGCTGTTGCCACTCCCGCCGTCGCAGCTGTTGCCACCCCAGCCGTCCGTGTTGCCACTCCAGCCGTCGCAGCTGTTGCCACCCCAGCCGTCCGTGTTGCCACTCCAGCCATCGCAGCTGTTGCCACCCCAGCCGTCCGTGTCGCCACCCCTGTCGCCACCCCTGTTGCCTACACCGCACCCGCTGTATCGTACACTGCTCCCGCGGTCTCTTACACCGCTCCTGCATACTCTTACTCCGCTCCCGCGGTCTCTTACACTGCCCCCGCTCTTTCCTACACTAGATCCGTAGTTGCATCTCCTGCAGTTGCATACAGCGGATATGCTGCTCCCATCGCTTACTCTGGATACAGCTACGGTGCCGCTTTCCCCTACGGCTACTGGAAGAAACGTTAAGAATCCCGCCTGCTATTGACTTATTAATTAGACTCATGGTCAGTTAAGGATTTGACATAGTAACAAAACTCCATTGTTTATTGAGGACGAATTTTTAAAACTGTATCAATGTGCTCCAAATATTCACGAGAATAAACTGCATAATGTATACTTCAATTAACTGTTAGTAGTTAAACAAATATCTTAAAAATAATGTGTCTAGTCTGATGAAATAAATACAACACTTAATTTTACAAACGCAATTTTATTTCTCCTTTTATTCCTTACCTATCAATTCCAATAAATAATGCTGTTGTATTCACAACTACAATAATTTGTTGAAATCAATTTAACTGATTTATTGATAAAAAATTTAGATTTAATGGAAAAAAATTAATAAAGTAAATGTATGATATTATTCTTGATTTCTGTATATTGATACTGTATTCTGTATATATAATTATGATTGTGACAAAAAATTGAACTAGAATGCTTAAAACTATAAACAAAATAACATTTAGGTGATTAGACATTAGGAAATAATAAATCATCATCATCGTAGAATACTCCGTGATGCCCATGGTGCTATTTATAACTATAAGTGATCAATACCACTTTCCCTCAAGTATATTTGCTATTCTGAGTCGCAATAAAATACTTATGGAAGTAAAATTTGCCCAAAATGCCTTAAGCATTCGATTGTATCTATAAACCTTGCAAGAAACTTGTAGTAAAGATAGAAATCCTTATAATATACCTATAATATAATGTGAGTTGGTTGTTTATTTTAACTTTTTCCGATTAAACTGTCACACGAAATATATTGCTAGAATAACTAGTTAGAATATATTTTTTCAAAGACTACTTAGTCTTATTATTATAAATCATATAATATATTAAAGCATATCCAAATGTAATCATTAAATACAAATACAAGTTCGTTTCGATGAATTAAACCCTATAACTAATTAGGCTCTTCCCACAATATTCCATAGTTTGTAACCTTAGGTTACTCATAGATAGAGTGTCTCCATAGAAATGCTTCGAGAAAAGCGGGTTAACTTTTTCGTACAATTTTAAAAGTTTCTTTTCTCTAAAATTCCTTTATAATTTCTCTTACCTTTCTTCTGTACCTTTTTAATGCATAAACACTAATTTTATTTATTAAATAAGACGTCAAGATTAAGTATATAGAACACTGATAAAAAAAACGAGTCAGCTAATTTAACAATTAGCTGACAAAAAGTTAACCCAATTTTTATTTTTTATGTATTAACATTTATATAACTTAGATTATATAGAGCCTCGATCTATATAATCTAAATTATATTAATGTTTTTTTTTTCTATTCTGATTCAAATTTATTACTGAGTCAAGTTTGTACTTGTATATATAGAACGTTCTGAACATCGTCTGTCTAATTAACATTTTATATATTCACAAATCTAATAAAACTAGTGGTCACCCCGTGGTCGAAATTCGACCATAACATATATTATAATAAATTGATTATGGTTATGTTTGACATTCAGTAAGACTGTAGACTATTATAGATTAACAATATTAAAGACAAACAATATTAATTTATTCTCAATTTGACCACAGAATTTAACAATAAACAAAAAAGTATATATGCGTGTATATATCAAATACATGGAAGAATGTGTAATATTTTTTTTAACGATTTAATATACTTTTCACGGATCATTTAAAAAAAAATTAGCATTTTGCATTCCTTCTCTATATAAACTAAAAGTATGTCAAATTTCATAATCCTATGTCTGCGTAATTTTTATAAAAAGGGGTTACAATTTTTGCTATACATATTAATTTAATAAAATATTAACTTTGAAATCATATTATTTATATGATATCGGAAAATCATAAATGGCTTTTAAATGTATTTCTAAATATCACACGCTGTACGAGTAATGAATCTGTCGATATAAGTCTACAATTAGTACGTCTTATTTAGTATTTCATTGTCAAATATATATATAATGTACCTATATTATAAAGTTGTATAAATACTGGCTATAAACAAAAAGTTATACCAATATATTATTCCAAAATTACACAAGACTTCATTGATAGAGTAATTTGATTACGATTCTATGTACAGGTAAATTGAAAGTGTACTATTTCAGAAGTTTCTTATATTTATTTTTCTATTAATTAATCATATCTAATTTAACACCATCTTCGGCTCTTTGCTTCCAGTTATTACATGTAAGCCTACAAATTACCTCTAATTTATAGACAATAATTACAATATATTTACATATTAATATAATTATTTAATAAATATATTATTTCAGTAATATTAAACAAAATAGATAAACCAGTTTTGTAGAAAAACATAACAAACCAGATGACGTAAACTGTGGGTAGGTTTAGGACATCCGCTTTGGGGTCTTTTGTAGTGACATGTACCGGAAAACGGAACCGTGTTTACAATTAGCTAATTTTTCAATAATTTGAAATCAAATCTCTTGAATGTAGACGAACTTTCTTGATAATATTGTTAATATACATCAATCCTTTGTATAATAAATTTAATGAAAATTAACAAGCACATTATTATGAATATATCGCACGATGACTCAAATAAAATAAAAAAGTACGTGGGATTATCGGCTTTCGGTGCCTGCTATAGAAGATACGACTAAATTAGGATATTAGATGTAAGCGCCGGATAAGATAAGATAGATAAGGTAGATGGTTTATATTACTTATAGAAAGATATGACATATTAACTATTTGCATATAGCTTCAATGGAATAAATGTGCTCTTTCAAAATTATTGAATATTTCTCATTTATGACGACTAATTGACGTACAAAGCAAACATGAGTTACACCATTAATTATTTTTTATTACTAAGAGTTTTGATATCACTATTTATTTTGATGAAAAACGAGCTTAAAAAAAACGGATCAACTTTTTATATGCAATTTTTCGTGATAAATAGTTAAGAGTGATTCTTTTATAACTTGTATATTTATTTTGTCTTATAAATTCTGCATCTTTTTAATACGTGAATATTCATTTTGTTTATTAAATAATACGTCAAGATATATTTTAAGCATAAGAATAAACAATACTGATTAAAAAAACGAGTCAGCAAATTTGACAATTAGCTGACAAAAAATTTACCCCTTTTTGAGGCTCGATGTTTTATCTATATTATCTAAGGTTACGTCAGTTACGTACAACACCTATAAGTAATATAGATCACTAATGCCTAGCAACACCAACCAGGATCCTTGCATCGGTATATTTCGTTGTTTATAAAACATTAATATGCTAATATTTAGTTTTTTTTTTCTAATGTTACATTATGAAATTAAACCAGTTCAGCTTTATCACCTAACTCAATGAACTAAAACTATGTATGAATATTCATTTTTTTAATATAATTTTTTCATGGCTTTTAAAATGTAGCAAATTATTAATTGTGCAACGTACGAGTATCTGATTGCATTTCTATATGTATGTAATCCTTTTAATCGATTTTAATAAAGTGTAAGGTCACAATTACACAATTTTTTTTTTTTTTACTTTTTGAGCGTATGTCACGTATATCATTTCCAATATAAACTGATGCTGATAATACTTATTTTAATTGGTAATGTTTAATTGCTGTGTGTCTTGTTTCTCTCATTTGTGCAATTTATATTTGTGCACAATCAGTGGGTTCTGTATTAGGTATAAAGGATAATTAACATTCAAACATACGCGTTAAAACTATAACTAATTAAAAAACTTACAATATGCACACATATCTTATAAATTTTGTAGTTTCGAACAGTATCAATTAACATAGTTCCCACTCCAGAATTATCTAGTGCGAACAAGGTTTGAAATTTTACATAAAACCATGACTGAAATTAAATACGAGTTGCAGTTATTTATAAAAAAAAAAAAACACGTTTATGGTTAGTAGTAAAGAGTGAAAAATACTATTATAATTTACGGATTACCCACGCAATAGTAATAATGAAAAAAGACTGTTCTAACAGCAGGATTATTACTATCGATTCATTTTATTCTGATAAATCACCCAAAAAATTACATACAAATATTGCGATCTCCTTAACAGATACTTACAGAATGTTGTTATAAAATTTTTAGTAAGAACTTTTCTTATAAAATTATATGTAATTAACGAAACCTCTACAAAATCAATCAATAAATCTATTATTTAACAAAGCAATTAAAGTTACTCATCTATTGCTATTCTGCCCATTGCATCATATAACTATAAATGAACCCGTTCTGTCAAAATAGCCTTGACGACACTAAATTATAGCCCCAAACTAACATATATTACATTTCTATGCCCATATACATTTGCATCAAATCAACCATATAGTCGAAGCCATAAAGTTTACATTATTGATTAAATCATGGTAACGGTAAGAAGGAAGTCCGGTTTTTAGTTTGCCCTATAAAATAAGCGTTTAAGATGAGCCCAACATCATTCAGCTTCGACAGTCTGAAAAAGAACACAATCATGTATAAACTGGTGAGTTTAAAATAAAATATTATTTGTTAAATGTACAAAACTTAATAAAAAAATCGTTAAGTTCAAAGGTAAGCAATACAATATAAACTATCAGCACCACCATAATAACCCGTTAATGCTCCATTGTTGGACACGGATAAAAAGAGAACAATAAGTGGTAATAGTTATCGGCGAAATCATTATTTTATAAGGAAGGCCTAGCCCCTTAAAAAAAACATATTATGCAATCTCAGACCATTCTCTATGCATAGTTAAAAGCCCCGCTCGCATCCTGAGATAGGCACTAGACAATTCTGGGGTGAGCATGGCCTTCCCGAAATATGCCTATAACAATAACTGGCTACGATATTACTACATTTACCAGACGTCTTAATATAGGGTTTTATTTCGTCTCTTACAATTATCATGTAAGAGAATAATTGTCTATTATGACAGTAAGAAGGGAGTTGATATAAAATGGTGACATTGTATTATTACTCGGTCATTACATGAACGTGTGAGTGAAAAGTGATATAGGTAATTTTCAAATAGTTGTGTGCTAATTAAATGTAATGCATAATTTTTACTTATATTAGTATTTTTTCTCTATTTGTTTCTATGATATAAAAATTTCTTGTAATAACATTATTAGTAATGTATATAAATATAATAATTTCAGTTTATCTTCGCCGCCGTGCTCGGGCTTTCCGCCGCTAAGCCTGGTATCTTTGCACCTGTGGCTTACTCATCTCCCGCCGTGGCATACCCAGCAGCCGCTGTTGCCGCACCCGCGGTAGCCGCTCCAGCTTTCGCTACATCTGCCTTCGCCACACACGCTGTTGCCGCTCCAGCTATCGCCGCCCCAGCTGTCCGTGTCGCCGCACCCGCCATTGCTGCTCCCGCATACGCCGCCCCCGCATACGCCGCCCCCGCATACGCTGCTACCGCGTACGCTGCGCCAGCTGTTGCCACTACCGCATTCGCCACCCACGCAGTCCACGCGCCAGCAGTGCGCGTTGCCGCCCCAGCCGTCGCTTACTCCGCACCAGCCGTCGCTGCCGCTCCCGTCCATTACTCTGGAATAGCCGCCGCTGCTCCAGTCGCTTACACTGGTTACGGTTACGGCTACCCCTCATACTACGTCAAGAAACGTTAAGAACTAAATTCTTATGAATGATCGCCAATAAATAGTATTCTATACTGAACTAACGTGTAAAGAAAAATAAATGTGTTCTTAGATAAGTTACTTCCGTATTTTAATTAATTTTCCTATAAATATAAATATTGACTTGATATCCTATTGTTATACCATTGTTAAATATTAAAAAATATATGCACACAGTAAATAGAAAAAAAAAATTACATTATTAACTTTGACATCGTAAGACGCTTACTTTCTAAAAAAATTACAAACCTTAAATTTATATAAAAAAACTAGTTGACTCGGTAAACGTTGTTTTACCATATACATTATTTAAATCATGAAAATATATCGATATTATATTCGATTGCCATCTTGCAAACGTATTGCAGAATATAAAAATTGCGATTAAAAAATAGGGGTGGATCGTAAAAGGGTAAAAATTTGAAGCTATATGTATTTTTCAATGCTAAATCATAGTAAAATAAAAAAATAAATTATCGAAAAATTAAAAAAAAAAATTGGGGTGGGTCACCTTTATCATTGAGGGGTATGAAAAGTAGATGTTGACCGATTCTCAGACCTATCCAATTTGCACCCAAAATTTCATAAAAATCGGTAAAGCCGTTTTGGAGGAGTTTGGTAACAAACACCGTGACACGAGAATTTTATATATGAAGTTCATTTTTTTTTACTTAGAATTAGGCTCCCTTGATGAAAAGTAGTAACCGTCGTATATAAATAAACATATAAATATATTCTTTCTTATTAAGAAAACTAACATCTATAAAATTTCGTTATAATAAAACAACCATAAAGACAAAAAATCAATTACAGGTTTTTACAAATAAAAATAACATTTAATTAAATGCATATTGCATTGCTAATACATATAAACAATTAAACATTAAATAATAGGTACAAACATGGTAGGTAGGCAGTTATGTAAAAAAAAAAGTTTAACTACTAGTTCAAAGATGAATTATCAAAGAACCACTGACTCAGCACATGCTTTGCGGATTCTATATTAAAATTACATAAATATAAATCATGATCTCTAAATATTGTAAACATCGCTGGCACGCCAGTGATATTATTTTTTGCTATACTTAGTGGAAACAAATAGAAGAAATAAGGTGGCATTTAACCTTAATGGTTTGGTTGCGACACTAGAGTGAATTGATATAGAAGATCAGGATAATCAATTGAACGATTGCCAATCTTCATCAAGAATTATGAGTATTTAATAAATTACTAGATATAGAAGTAGTAAATTAAATTTAATCCTGTTTCTCGAGTGCTACCTATCGAGTGGTGACCCCACTGAAAATCAGCGCTGCAGCGTGGTGCTGAGAGAGGGACCATTTCAGCTGCTATCACATAATTATTATTTTAATGTATAAAGTTGTTATTAATATTGTTATGTTTTGTAGATGAATAAATTATTTTATCATTATTATTATTAAATACTATAATCCTCATTTAATGCTCATGAATGCCAATGTGTGGGAGTCATGGAATACGTTGTGAAACATGATGCTGATTTTCTTTAGTCTATATACGACGATTACTATTTTTTTATCAGATAAGCTGTCAGCTTGCTTCCAATACTAAATTGTATGTAACAAATAAGTAATAGGCTGTTTGTATTTTAAAGTTAATGTATCCAATAATTTTAAACTAATTGATAATTCTTATTACTTATATTTAATTAAATTATACTGTTTATGAGATTCAGTGATTATAATAGGTACTTTTTTTTATTAAAGAAAAATAACAAAAGTAGAAATGTAAATATTCGCTTAGCAACAGCTTATTTATAAATTCTTAAATACTTGCGTAAACAAAGCATCAAACAGAACTCAATACATTTTGTCAATTGGATTCATTAAAATCTGAACGGACTATTTATTTTATTTAAAATATTGGTGAAACTATGATTTAATTCTAGCCGGATTTTAATTTTAGGTAGCTATTATGTGTGTACAAATTATTGGACAAGAGATCCTAAATGTTAATAAATTATCATCAAAAATTAACATAATGTTCTATTTTTTCGTTCGATGATTGTCATAAATAAATATAGGTATGTATAATTTTATATCTAGTGGCATATATATTGAATACTAATTGTCTTATGGCTATTATTATTTCAGCCGTTAACTGTCCACTGCTGAACATAAATCTTCCCACTAAGAGAATTTTTGCCCATAGTTGCCACGCTTGACAGGTGGGTTGGCAACTGCAGTTAGGTTTATAGAAATGTTTTAAGAGGGACGCTGCTGCTATATGAATATATATGCTATATGCTTATGGCTGTATGGCTTCTTAATACTTATCTACATTATAAAACGTAAAAAGTTATGGACATTTGAACTAGCCCCACAGTTCAATCTACGAGTTGTTAACGGACACTAGATTAACTATAATGATGACCACGACTTCGTTTAAGTGTTCTAATGCTAATAATATTTTAAATATAAAAGTGGGTTAGGTGTTGTTGGTACAGATGTTAGGCGATTTTTTAAGCTATCAAAATTTATACTTACAGTAGGTATATAATTCTAAAAATCTGTAAATCTGTATACATTATTAACAAGGGCAATAAAGTCATGGTTCTTGACTGTTTTTAACGCAGACAGCAATTTGGTTTTATATTAGAGATTTGTAGACATGAACATAAGCATACTAATTACTTTCCAGGATCTTGCAAATTTGGATTTAGCAGAAACATCATAAAAACTACTTTGGAGTTATATTAATGGTTTTTAGGTGTACTAATAAATCAACGCTTGAAGTAAATGATGTAACCGAAAATGAAAATGACATTTAAGTTGCTATCATTTCTAAATGAATATGTACCTACTTATCTACTCGTATTTATAAATTAATTTTAATTTATTATTAAACAGAATTTTCAATAATTTAATTCTTATATTAAGTTATTTCCAAGAGGTACATTCATTTATTATTTATTTATTATTAATAAAAGACTAGGCTTCAATTGGATTGTTATTAAAAAAATTAAGTGTTGTATATATATATATATATATATATATATATATATATATATATATATATATATATACAACTTAGAATGGCAAACAAGCTGACGGCCCACCTGATGGAAAGTGGTAACCGTCGCCTGTAGACATGAACAGTACCATGGACGTAACAGAGTATACTGTTTCGCCCATGATACCCCCCATGCGTTGCCATTCCTGAGGACTCAGGTATTATTCCTCCGTACCCAGTAAATTCACACCATATCCCACCCTTCAAACCGAAACACAGCCATGCAAACACAATTGCTTCACGGTAGAAACACGAATGGGACAGAGGTATCCAAGCAATCGACTTTTGTACAAAGTCTCCCCCCTCTGGTAAAATATTCTATAGTGTTATAAAAAGTTTATAATGCAATTGCCAAGTCATTTATTTTTATAGAAATTATTATTATTATTATTATTATTATATCAGCCGTTGACTATCCACTGTTAAAAATAAGCCTCCTCATAAGAGGAATTTTATTAGTAGCTGCAAAGCGCTTGAAAAACGGGATGGCAACCGCACTTAGGCTTTGGTGATGTTTTAAAAGGGATACTGTTGCCCATCCATCGACCAATTAGTTCTCTTAGTCGCCTCTTATGGCACCCACGGGAAAAGAAATGGTGGCCAATTGTATACTAAGACAACACGACAAATAAAATAGAAATATTATAAAAATAAAGATGTCTAATATTAATACGGATATTATAAATGTTGATAGAAAATTAATTAAATAACAATTTACATATTTGTTAAATAGATGCTTTCATAGACAATAAATAAAATAACTGACATAGTTTTACATGAATCTTATAACTTTTTGTAATGAAAAAACTTGGTTTGCAAGACTTGGCATGTTTTTACATTTTATTATTTTGATGAGGTATATTTATTCAGCGACATTGTATCCTTTACCATTAAAAACATACATGAAAATATTACCAAATTTCATGATGCTTGCTTGAGTAATTTAAGTGACAAATCATACAAACACTTTTACATTCAACAGTAGTAAGAATATACGAATCGTTTTAATTAAAGCCGCAGGTTCAATCCCCGCATAATACAAATATTTGTATTCATAAGCGTGCATTTATGTGTTTGTATTAATGTAGCTATTTTATATTAGTTATATAATATGCATATATTCACAAAAAATGTGTCTGCTTAGTACTCAACAATGTATTGTATGCATATGCAAAACTTTCAAAGTAAAAAGCGATTTCCTAACTTATCATATTTGAAAATAGACGTTTGCAATTCACCTTATGGTATTTAATTAATTATTATTTAATTAAAATATTTCATGTCATATTTTAATAATAGTTTCATTAAACTTACTTTACAGTATTGTTGACTTTTTGGATCACTTAGGACTGTTTGGACTTACTATTTGACAAATACAAAAGTCGACGTTCTGTCACATTCGTGTTTCAACCGTGAAGCAGCTGTGTTTGCATGGCTGTGTTTCGATTTTATATGGCGTGAATTTACTGGGTACAGAGGAATAACACCTGAGTCCTCAGGAATGGCAACATGGGGGGTATCATGGGCGAAACAGTATACTCTGTTATCTCCATGGTACTGCTCATGTCTATAGGCGACGATTACCACTTTCCATCAGGTGGGCCGTCAGCTTGTTTGCCATTCTAAGTTGTATAAAAAAAAAACAACTTCAAATAAGAGGAGACTTTCAAATCGAATATGTATTTTCACTAATTCTGTACCGTTGGTTATCTATTGGTTAATCATATTTCAATCGGTACAATTTATAGTTATATATGTCCTATGCTAATTTTCCTCTGTTGACTATTTTTTATACAAGATGATATTGCAAATAACAGACAACCCATTTGATATATGGCACTATTGATAGCACAGGATATACTGTGACGCCCAAGATGCCTCTCGTACATAGCCGAATACCAAATAATTCAAATTTTAAATGAAGGCACCTTAAACTATACGTTATTAGTTTATTATGCTTATCTTGCCACCTGCTTCTTAACTAGGACAGATACTAAGGAAATAGAATTAATATATAATTGGTAATTTATGTTAATGACATATAATTTCGTTGAATAAAATTTAATCTTTAAACTTTTGACTTCGTTATAAACAAGTTGTTCCCGCGACTTCGTTTACATTATATACAAAATTAAAATAAAATTAATTTTATTAAAACATCCACAGACAGATAGGTAGGTATCTACCTAATTAGATTAGTGGTGTTTAGACTGTTGTTTTGTTCTTTTTATTTAATTTTGATCCTTCAAAATTTTACTTTAAAATATAAAGTTAATACGACTACGTATATACGACTTTTATCTACTGTGAAAAGAATTATCATAAATTAATAATAATAATAACCAGTCTGGAACAACACCTCAGACGGTTGGGATTTCTAAGCGGCTCACTCCCGCGAAAGATGCAGAAAGCGGTGCTCTTAGATACTGCCCTCATTGTACACGAATTTCTCCCCCTGGAGCCCTGAACCCCGGCCAACTGTGTTTTTGCCAAGGGTTAGTTTGCTATCTCCTCTCCCTAAGAGGGGACATGTAAATGTTGTTAAAAAATAATAATAAATAATTTTGATTCAAATAAACTTAATAATAAGAATTTTTATATCATATTTTTTTTTTATAATTCTACCGCCCATTTAATGGACAAGAAACACAGCTGTTGTTTTTTTTTTCAAATAAAATTTAATTTTACAACAAAAAAAATATGAATAGATATAATGACTATCAAAAACTTTGTATTGATAAAAAGATAGAAAAAACAAAGTCAGTCATTATATTCTTGGACGGACCAGTCCCTACTAGAAGCACTCGTTCACGAGTATGACGAATGAGCCAGCCATCGTTGTGTTCGACCATATTATAGCAAGCACAATGACCCGGCCAATCACGCTGCCACCAATTTGGACATCAAAGTGAGATGTTAAAGACAAAATTATCATGTGTCACAATATTGTACACCGCTCTACCCGTTGACATTGATACTCCTTTCCACTTTGGGTTTGCTGGAACTCTATTAGAGTTGAACTCGCCTTTATACATTTACTTACTTCTGTCAGATTTTTATATATATCACTATGTATGGTAAAGTATTAATATGGGATCGATATATAAATAACCCTTATCGATATTAAAATGAATACGGAAAATATTATTAAAAAAAAAACAGGCGAGTTGAAAAACCTCTTTGACGTCGCTTAAAAAATGAAAATGTCTATTTCTACTTTTTTATTATTTATATGGTCACATTGTGAATAAAATAAACTGCAAGTAACCAACATTTTTTATTTATTATCATATCGCTTCTTTACTAACGTGCCAATTGAAGTATTGTTTATATTAATTAGATATAGGTAATATATAGCAATATCAGTATATGTTACAATATATATATATATATATATATATATATATATATATATATATATATATATATATATATATATATATATATATATATATCTAATAAAAGATATATTAAATACCTGTTGTCCAATATATTAAAATGAAGCATCCGACTAAAAAGAATGTAAATTTCCGACTGATACAGGCGGTATCAAAATGATTGATGACCTTTTTTCTATCATAAATTTCTAGAGGCATCCAATATCTAGATTTTGGAGCGGTACCGATTTTGTCCATGCCTAGTATTATTATTATTATGAAGCAATTAACGCGCAAACGGTGTAAAATAAAATTTCTATAATCCCAAATAGGATTTCGTGAAGCATTAATTCAGTCTAAAAAAATTTATTTCGAAATAAGTTATATTTTAACGGTATTTTCAAGTTTCAGATACGAACTTAAGTCTTTTTGGACTTATTTATAGAAGTATATGACCCCAAAAAATGAAATTGCCAAGCTGTTGGTTTTTCTTTAAAAAATAAATAAACAAAAGGCTGAAGTCTATAAGTGTATAGATATAAAAGATATTTTATCACTATGTGATGATGCTCTCTGCTAAAATAATTTTGTTTGATAAGATGAAACTCATTTACATATAAGTATGTGGATACACCTATAATATATAGGTATATGACCTTAGGTACCAATGACCAGGACGCCCTTTCTTATAATTATATAAATAGACTTAGGTAGCTATTTTAGCGAACTCGTTTTATCAAACATAACCTTGATGTCCATAGTAAATTATAATAAAGTATAAAACTGTGATGTATTTAAATTTCTCGACACGTGTATTCTATTAATGAATTGAACTTTAAACCAATGGGGTTAAAGTATGTTTTATAATTAATTTTTATGTGAAATTTTAGGATAGCGTCCGGTTTTGTGATTTTCCTATAAAATAGGCGTCTGGGATGAGTTTAACGTTATTCAACTTCCACGGCCCTGAACAAAACATAACCATGTACAAACTGGTGAGTTCTATTTTAGATATTTAATTAATACCTATTTATAAGCGAAATAGTCGCTAACTGCCTAAATTTTATACCTAAACGGTTGAATACCTTAAATTTCATAACCTTTAAAATTTATTTTTCATTTTACTATTAAGAACTAATATACGCTGAATAATCTGCGACAATGGCAAAATTGATCTTATTTCTCGCTTATCCTACTAATATTATCAATATAGAAATTTGTAATATTATTTGAATTTTTGTTATTTGGTTACCCATATAGGCTTAACAATTTACAATGAAATTTTGGTATAAGTTGTATTGTATTGTAGTAGTAACAAATAGGATATTTTATATCGTAGTTAATGTGAATAAAGTTTTGCAAAATAGTTAACATAATATATATGAAAGTTTATGAATATATTTGAATGATTGTTGAAGTACAATTATTCAAACATCACGCTTAAATTTCTGTACGATTTTGAGTTAAATTTAGTAAACTGCCTAACAACATTTTAGATAACATCCAAGATACTTTTTAACTTAATTCATAAGAAAAAGCTGCAAATTATAAAATAATATACTATTAACCATGAGTGCTCGTTTTACAAATATTGCGGCGCACACACACGCACTTATTCTCACTGAAAATGCTGTGATATACACATTTATACACATTTTTTCCCACGTATTTAGTTAATTTAGTAGCTTTATTATTATTATTAGGTATTTTTTAACGCCTGCGTGGCTGCCGTCGTATATTTGGGCAAAATAAAGTTTTTTTCTTCATTTCTAATATATTGTTCATATGTAATTAAATTCGTATTAATTAAGAGTCGTTATATGTTCCAGTTCATATTCGCCGCTGTGCTGGGGCTCGCTGCTGCCAAAGCTAACTATGGCTCGGCTGTATCCGTCGCGCCATCAGTGGCCGTGTCAACACCTGTACCTTACACCGCATCAGCAGTACAATCAGCACAAGTCGCCTACCCTTCACCAGTGGCCTACTCTGCACCAGTAGGCTATTCGTCTCCAGTAGGCATTTCTGGACAAGTAGGCTACCCAGCACCAGTAGGATACTCATCGCCAGTAGGTTACTCCTCACAAGTGGGATACTCTGCACCAGTAGGTAACCCCGCACCAGTAGCCTATTCGTCAGCAGTTGCCTACTCTGCTCCCCCAGCTGTGGGTGTTACCCCTCGTAACGGGTACTCTGCTCCAGTAGCCTCGGCACCAGTCTCCTCAGTCGCCTACTCTGCCCCTGTCTCCTTCCCCAGGTCTGCCGTATCGTCCGCACCAGCAGCAGTTTCCTATGCCACCCCATCGGTTAACCCTGCACCTTACACTGCTCCCGTCCCCGCACAAATTGCCTCATTCGGCTACCCATCATACCCAGCCCAGTTTGCTTACTCTGGTTATTCCCCATACTATACTGGATACCCTGGCTACAACTATGGATTCGGTTACAACTACCCATCTTACTACTGGAAGAAACGTTAAGATTAGATTAACCACCGAAAAACCTGTTGTAGATATAAAATTAAATAAGTATGCAAATTTAAAATAAATGTTACCGACTGCTCCTTCGAGTTTTTAATATATTACCCTAGAATTTTAGTGCACGCTCGTACTAAACACAAAACGCACTCGTGTGAAATATTCATATGTCACATTTCGATATTTACAATGCAATAAACATGTAAAATGATATAATTAAAAACCCGGATATACATAAAATTACTATAAAATACTTTTTGGTACCTAGATATAATACCTAGGTATACCAAACTACTCACTGGTTGTTACTATACTTATTGGAGACTTTATACTGAGTCATTTACGTGAGTACCTCTATCTCTCTCGTATTTCAGCTGCTTGACAACTATGCTTGCATTGCTGTGCTTAGGTAAAAAAATGGTTAAAAAACTGTTAAGTTACTTGTTATCTCCATATCAACAAACATAACAATAGTCAGTATTATGGAAAGCCGTTTACTACAATGTATTCTGTGATATTTTCGTTTCTGTTTATGTAGACGGTGTAGACAATGTAGACAGTTAACTTTTTCCATCAGTTTAGCGATTAACTTGTAAAAAAATCAATAAAATAGTAAACAAGAATAACATCCTTACTAACTCTACTATTTACTTTATAATATAATAGATGTAAGTGTTTATTTGTTACTGCTTGACGTTTTGACAAGTGTTACCCACTTGATAAATTTCGATATAGTCTTTATGGTAAGTAGATAAAAAATAAAATTTTTCCTGTTTTAAATATCACATATTTCCTATATAAATTCCAATTAAATTAGTAAAATTGTTACAATAAGTTTTTTTTTAATCAGTTTATAGTATTAATATATATTTCGACATTTCTCCAAATTAATGATTAAGATATTATTATTTAAGAAAGAGAAAACAATAACTACAATGACGGAAAAGTACTTAATTAGAAAATTCAGAAAAAAATACATAATTTTTGTTTTGATAACAATTTGAATAATTTTTAGTTTGATGAGTATTAAAATAATCAATATCAAATGTTTTGAATTAATTATGTTTTTTAATTCTTATATAACATATGGTGGCCCTAACATTTACATACGGATACATAAAATATGGCATGCTAACTAGTTATTTTCATCTACGCCTAAAATACGAATTTATTTGAATATATTTTTTATTGGTCCGATAATTATTTTTTAATATATATATATATATATATATATATATTGCTAGTGTATCTTTCGGATTATTAATAAGTTATCTAACTATAACAATTGTATCATAATATTTATATCATCATACCAGCCGTTAAATATCTATTGCTGAGCATAGGCCTCCTCCTATTGGAGGGTTTTACCAGTGGTTGCCACGCTTGATAAGCGGATTGACAACCGCAGTTAGGATTTGATGATGTTTTAAGGGGGACGCTGCTCCCCATCTCTCGACCATTAAGTTCCCGTAGTCGCCTCTCACGATACCCACAGGAAAGGAAGAGGTGATCCATTCAATGTTGGGACCACACAGCAGCATTTTTGTGAAGTGGACAAATTTTTTTGTAAAAATGAAAAACAAGCTGCAGCTAGCAACCCACTTGATGGATAATGTTAACGTTTAGTGATAAACACAGCACTATATTATATACTGATTGCATCCATTTATCTATATTTTTTTTCATATTTCTCTCATGTTTTTTTCACATGAGTCAGACAGTGAATATTTGTTCGCACAGCCTAGGCTTATTTTGATAGTTTCTGATCCGAATTTTGATAAAAGGCATAAAGCCATTCCTTTTTTTTTCCATAAGAGTATATAAAATATGTATAGATATCTTGTCCTGTATCTGACATTTATAGAAACCGCTTATATGTTGCCTAATATTAGTAATGGGCCACGTCGAATTAAATCGAATAAATTGGAGTGAGCAGATTTTAATACCTAAAGATGTTCAGATATTCGAGTACTCAATATACAGAATTCGTATATATGATATTCGAATGCAGTTTCGAGTATTTATGTGTTTCGAAAATTAATCGCTTTTTTCTTCATTATGAAAATAAGAAATATTAAATAATAGAACGGTGCCCCTTCCTCTCATCTTCATTAGCTTCAAAAATCAATTATACAAATTATTTGAGTTTGATGTTGTGCTTCAATATTCGAACAAGCACTCAAGTACGTACTCGTCCGAATCCTCAAATTCGTGAATTCATTTTTTTTAATAAGTATCATCATACTCGAATACCAAAAATGGCAGATTTAGCGTATCACTACTTCTGAGTAGGAAATATCTAGACAAATTTTCAGGTGGCAGGTACAGAATTTTACAGTGTTAAAGTTCAAGATGTTATACTAAGTATATATTTAAAAAGCAGCCCTATTTTTACGATAAATGGCTTTTTTATTTTTTATTTATTTTATTTATTCTTTATTGCACAATAAAACTTTGTACAAGCGGCGAGCTCGAGCTAACCATTAGGTAAAAACAGAAAGCGTATTAAGATCAAATGTGGTGAAAAATATGTAACATAATAGGATTTTTACTATTTGTCTTAGAAATTACATTACTAAAACAAGAACAAGTAGAAATGTGGTCGCAAAAAAATGGTCTATCTTTTAACTAAATTACTCTTTTCACGCACCTAATCAGATCACAATGTTGCAATTCTTGGCGAGGACAGCCTCTTAAGTAAAATATTCGTCAGGTGGCTTTGGAAATTTGAATTTCGAATATTTATTTTATTACCTCAATGAACATATAATGTTTAAGTTGCCACTAATTTTAGCAGATTTAAAGTTTAAGGACCATTCACACACAACAGAATCAACACGTGACGATGAATGTAATATACTCATCAGTACTATGACATGTCAGAGTTATTCAGAACCATGTTGGCATTCCGTATTCCTGGCCATAACAGATACAATGTAAAAAAAATAAAATAAAATAAAACTCGCATTATACTGATACTGTTGATCAACTCCCGTACCCATAGTAATTGAGCTACCGTTTCTTAATGGGCATCTATCTACTTCATAAAAGTCATATCAGTCATATCCAAAATTTTATGTATCCAACTCTAGCAGTTTAGGTTCTGCATTAATAAATAAGTCAGTCGGTCTGTATAAATAAATAATTTATCTTGAATACCGACAATTAAAATATTTTCAATGCTAAAAACTAATTTCAAATTACAGAAAGCATAAGTGATGTCATTGACATTAACAATAATTTTTTTTCACTGACATTCGTGTATGAATCGTCACGCGTCAGCACGGGTAAGTGCGAATAGAGCTTATTTTCTAAGACCCATGACTCCAAATTTAGAACAGAATGTGTTCGAACTAAGTATATTAACATATTTTATTAGATCATCATTGGCATAGAACACACGTTTGAAATGTCAATGAATTTTAACTGTCTGTAATTGTTGATGGATTTAATACAAAAATATTATGTTATGAGAAATAAATATATTTTAGTCAATATGTTTATTACGGGTACATGTAACCTTGTAGTGAATTAGTAATAGATATATATATATAACATTCTATTGCTAATTCATGCATAGTAAATTCCACTAGTGTTTAGCAAAATATAGTTCGAAAATAACTTTAAATAAACAGTCACGGTGCCTAGTAGACAGGCATATTAGACAGAGAGATGGAGAGGCATATCATCCCTCAGCACAACAAGGACATAGGACTTATAAGAAATCTATTTTTTCCAGATCATTCAAGCCGAGGTCAACTAATATAGTCTCTTTTATAAATAATATAAACTGTAGATATAAACAGCACTAATGTTACAAAATAAATTGAACACCTACTGTCCCTCTCACGGATTGTCATTTCTAAAGCATTATACTTCTACAATCAGTAGTTTTATAACTATTTCGCATCCCTCAAACCTAGACAGGTATAGAAAACTAAAAAAAAATCCTTTTTTACCGAGGAAAGAATATAACTATTAAAATCTAACAAATCGATATAGTTAACGTAAGAGCCTAATTTTTCAATACTTTGCGTACTCAAATCTACGATCTCCCAATAATTTCAACTCCTATCTGAATTCATTTCATGTTTTAAACTCAATATACCTATAGTCAGATAATATACACATATTATCTGAGTAGAACTGGATTTCAAAATTACAAATGAATTATTTTGCACTTTGAAAGTCTTACAGTACCTATCCAAGTGACAAAATTGAAACATAAGCTATAATAAACATAGAACATAATTAAAATTATATTTTTATCTATATATCTAAGGATATATATATATATATATATATATATATATCCGGATTTGAATAATTCTATGTAAATCATAGAATTAATCAAAAACTTTAATAATATAAGATAATAAATAACAAAAAATATTTCCATTCTATGCTTTCGAAAACAGTCGTATTTAATCTAATATCCAAACGATCATCTTTAAAATTAGTTTACAATAATTATGTTTCTCCTATTATTATTTTAAAACTATTAAATAACACATAAAATAATATACAAATTAAGAAATTATTTTATAAAATCAGTTTACATAATAATGTGAGAATTCGTTTGATCTGAATTAATTTGCATTTTACAATTTACGAGTATAGAAAAAATTAAAGTTAAATCTTTTATTTTATTTGTCATATAGATAAGTAAGAAAGGTATACTTTTTAATGAAAATCATACAAATCTACAGGACTATTTACTAAACATTTAATTGAGAACTTAATGACTAACATAAGTGTAATAACGAGATATGTTGTAATTATTTCTTTAGGAAACAAAAATATGGTAGGCTGTTTTCAAATAATTTTAATTGCTATATTTGAACTAGTTTTGACAAATTAGCCTTGAATTTTGTATAAAATTATTTTTCTGTATGAATCAACAAAGTTCACACTTATCATAAATTAATATAAGACTTTATTTCAATGCGCATAAAATATATTTTCAGATTTATTATTTTTATATATTTTACTAGTGACGATTTTAGAAATTCGTATAAAATAGCCGAGCGAGTGGATATTTTATCATTCAGCTCCAACGGCCTGAAAACAAATATCAAACATGTACAAATTGGTAAGTATTTTTAAATTTATAAATAAATAAATAATATACGTGTAAAAAGAGACTTAATGAATTTTAATGAACATCTTGTTTTAATGAAATTTTTTATTAATGAACATTCATTATTTGAAATAATAATTAATACAGGGCATGAGTATTTTAGTCAAATTACCTATTTTTTATTTTTTGATTTCATATGAGTTCAATTTAGATCATGCAATAAAATTTATTTGCAGTTTAGTAACATATCGAAATCTCAGACCAAAATTCAGCTATATTATGATTAAGTTGTTTATATTTTGTTTTTGCTATAGTGTAATCCCTTCGTTGTGCTAACATTCTTTTATACTTGCATATATTAACTACTTCATATCATGCAGATTTTTTTTTTAAATAATGACCATTGTGTGTCATCCTAATTCTAGTTAAAATTTATTACAATAAAATGTGGCACAAATTAATGTAAGAATTTGCACAACAATAAAACTTTCCCTATATTCTGATTATGCTTTTTACTATAATATTGAAAATAATAATAATAAATATATGTTAAATTACAGTTGGTTGTCGCCGCTGTTTTGGGGCTTACCGCAGCTAAGCCTAGCGGTCTGTTTGGCGGAGTAGCTTACACTGCCCCAGCCGTTGCCGCCGCCCCAGCCGTCGCTTACTCTGCACCCGCCGTCGGCTACTCTGCGCCCGCGATCGGCTACTCTGCGCCCGCCGTCGGCTACTCTGCGCCAGCTATCGGATACTCTGCACCAGCCATCGGCTACTCTGCACCCGCTGTCGCTGCCCCAGTAGCTTATTCTGCCCCTGCCGTCACCGCTCCAGTAGCTTACTCTGCCCCAGCCGTCTCTGTCGCACCTGCTGTATCCTACGCAAGGTCCGTGGTCGCTGCTCCAGCCGTCTCTCCCATCGGCTACAATGCCGGTTACGCTGGTTATGGATATGGCGCTGCCCCCATTGCCTACTCTGGATATGGTCTAGGCTACGGATACGGCGGTTACGGCTACTTGAAGAAACGTTAAGATCCAAGCGACTACCACAATCAGTTTTAGGTACATGTTCATATGGCAATAAATGTAAAATGATAAAATGTATATTTCTTTCTTTTAACAAAATTTTATTAATTCATTTAAAAAAAATACTATATTATATAGCTACTTCATTAAAAGAGGTAATCAAAATAATTATAAAAAGACCACAAATATACATACTTTGATATATAATTAAGAATATCATCAATTTAAAATAGCGATTACAAAATAATTAAAATAATGTACATTATTTTAATTATTTTGTAATCGCTATTTTTTTCTGCAATGCTAAACATACATGTTAAGTATACATTCGCAGTCATATAAACCATGCATATGAAAACTACAAACGCTTAATCTTCTTATAGCTATATTTTTTTAAACTTACTGTAATGTTAAAGACTTTCTTTTAAAATTGACATTGTCTGATCGAACAATACGATTGGGTTGTAGCAAATATTAATATTTACACTATTTTAAAACTTATAGTATGAAACACCTTACAAAATACTGTTTCAATAACAGCATTCTAATTATTATATGGAAATAGTCCAAGATGTTTTTAAGTGTTTTTACTACTATTCTTGTGAAGGCAGCACCTACTTGATCTCAAAAGATTATAGGCCACCTTTATTGTAAATGAAAGCCTAATAAAAAAGGTTACAAAAGCTTTGAACCCTAATTCATAATATGAGAGAAAAGGATTGTTAGATGTTAGCCCCCATTGCTAACAATACACATAAGGTCGATAGTCGCAGTCCTCCTTGAAAAGCACCGTGATTAATTTGTGTAAATTCACCACTACTGGCCCACTGATCTGACTTCATCCTCATGCTCCACCATTTTATACTATTAGAATAGGCAGGTGCCATTTCATCATTTTCATCCACTTAAAAAGAGATTCGCAGTCTTGTGACACACGCACGTGAGGAGAACAAAAATAATCTATCCTAAATTAATTACGCCAAAAAATGGTTACATAAAAGGTTTTCCACATATTTAGTAACCGAAATAGACTCGGTATAGAATTATTAAGGTGGTTTTAATTTAAATAAAACTCAATAAACCAAAACAAAGTATGTTTCAACTTAACTCAAGAAGTGCTCTATTAATAAAAAAAAAAAAAACATATTTTAATAGCACAATTTCCAAGAGTTTTGCTTCAATGGAAGTAGTTACAAGGATTCTTAACAATAGCAAAACGTTTCAGATCACGTGAACAAACCTTAAAAATGAATACATTTCATTAATGTCTAAAGTACGAAAATGTGACTAATTTTTTTCTAAAAAATCTTTTTTTTAACAATTACATACTTAGTAAAAAATATATGTATTAGCAATAGTCGATTGTGGATTCAATTAGTCAATAAAAAAATTACTTATGTAATATTTTTCATGAACCAAAAACTAAACCAATAAAATGCTCAACAAAACATCTTATTCTTACTAATTTAATAAAACTATAACCAGACGATGTCTGTACATGAGACATTTTTAAAAAAACACTGATGAGAGGGGATTCACTAAGCGCAATAGAACCCAAAACAATAAACCTGTTGTTTGAAATTCAGTTGTACTCCTAAAGGTTGTTTTTAATCTGGTATAGGTATGTTTTATTGTAATAGGTGATCTAATTTATTGATTTTTCTTATTACGCATCAAAACACCAGCGACAGTGGACAGCGATCTAGTGGCAATTCTAATGACTAAATGCGTCTAGTCATTAGAAAGTAATTGTTTGCAAACTTTTGTTAAAAATATTTGCTGTTATAAGAAATCACTGGGTGCAGACTATACATTCTTTGTCAATGAATAATATATCTAACTCTAAGTGATAAGTTAAACAGACATTGTATATATTTTTTAAACAAAATACCAGAGGGAGACTTTGTACAAAAGTCGATTGCTTGGGTATCTCTGTCACATTCGTGTTTCTACCGTGAAGCAGTTGTGATTGCATGGCTGTGTTTCGGTTTGAAGGGTGGGATATGGCGTGAATTTACTGGCTACAGAGGAATAACACCTGAGTCCTCAGGAATGGCAACGCATGGGGGATATCATGGGCGAAACAGTATACTCTGTTATGTCCATGCTACTGTTCATGTCTATAGGCGACGGTTACCACTTTCCATCAGGTGGACCGTCAGCTTGTTTGCCATTCTAAGTTGTATAAAAAAACCTTCTTCAATTTAAAATTCTAAAATATGCCAAAAACAAAGTCGTGGCTAAATAGCTAATTATTAATATTTTACCAATACTGAACTCAGACTACACTTACTACTTACAATATTTTACATTTACAATAAATTTATAGGCAAAAAAAAAGTTATTACTTAGATACTATTGAAACATTCATCATAAAATGGAATTGTTTTTCCTCAATGGCAATCGTTTGCCAATTTCACGATCATTTCTGACAACGTCATATACAAGAGGATCGTAACTTGAAAATTATAATTTTCTACAAGTAATATTCGATATAACGACTAATTACGCATTGTCCCATCGCATATTTGTGTACACTCAAACTACAACTCCTCAATTTAAACTAAATATTCACCGTTCCTGCCATTCTTAATACTTTGAAAATACTTTTTGCTATAGACAATAAGTTCTACGTAGTCATTATTGCAAAATAATATTCAAAATGAGACTAACGACACGACAAACATACTTAATAGTATTATGTACTTATCGAGCAACTGAAACCCACGAAGTGAATGGTGCCCATCTCTCTGAAGGACAAGAACACATATGTTCTAGCTTTGTGACACTACACGTTTACTGAATACTAATAGATATTAATTTTGTTTTCAAAAAATTACAAAAAAGGGCATTACAAATTATAGCCTGAATCCCACAATATCATCATGTAAATACATAACCATCATGTTTTTCTTTATCTTTTCCAAAAATATAATATTCTAATGATGCCTAATCTTTATATATTATAATAATTTCGCCGATTGATTACATTAAATATATGCACAAAAGAGAATCTGGGCAGGGCAGAAATTTGCGCAAAAATACTAGGCGAGGAGACATGACCAGTGATATTCAACTTAATTTTTTAATAGTTCAGCTTGATACATGGTTTTAATCAGTAAAATTATTTAATAAATTGCCCATCGCTTTAAAAACAAGCTACATTTCTTGTTACACAGTTGACGAATTTGATTAATATGTAAATTTTTTTAATTAATTTGCATTATATCTTATAAGTTTTGTATTTGATTACTCTCTTACCATGAACTTATAATTTACTTATTAATATGTAATTTTCAATAATTTGTACATGATATTCAATACAATGGAATAGACGGGTAATGGCTGAAATGATGATGATGATGGTGATGAGGATGATTCAATACAATGTATTTTTGTCAACAAAAAATAAATACGGTTTATTTATTTTTTCTTAACAAAAATACATTATACACATACGGGTTATTTTGCTACCTCACGTCCTATAAAGGGTAGATGTGATTTTTATAAGTAATAATGATAAAATTACGTCTGCATTCATTTTAATTTGAATTCATTTTCTGTAGTTTACAGTTTCTTTACACGCAGGCACATAAAATAAATTAGTATTGTTATTTATGTTCCTATACAATAAAACAAATGGATGTTTAACTTCCTACCCAATTAAGATCAATGAATTTTTACGATTTTGTATTACAAGCAAGAAAGTGACGTGACTGCAAGGTTAATGGGAAAAACACAAGTGGTTTTGGACACACTTACCTCTGCTGTGATTATACATTCTTTTGTTTTCGTCACAACTATTTAACAAGACCTTGACAATACTATTCAAAGATTCTATTCTTTTTCATAGTTATCCATTTGTTACCATTTCCATTTAAAGTGTGGCAAATATATAAGGTACGAGATACTTATGACTGTCAGTGCATTGCCAATAGTCAAACAGAGGAACTTGTCAACGAAAACATTTCATTTTGTAACAAAAATGTCGAATTTAATTGCGGTAAGTGTTCCTAAATAAAATAAATACATTTAGATACATTTTCTAATTTAATCTGTTTCAAAATTTAACTATTAGAAGTGCAAAATAAATATTATTTTAAATTTTGTTTATATTTTATTTATTTATTTTATGTATATTATAATAATTAAGTGCAGTTTTCAATACTGTTTTGAATGTTGAGTTCCATAGAAGCGATATAATATTGTACTCAATACCATACAGGTTCTGTTTCAAGAGTCAATAAATTCAAATAATTGCACAAATTCTTTCTAGGTAATTGTGCTGGTAGCAATTGTATCAGCAGCAGCTGATCCACTGCTACTCAGTGCATCGTACGTGTCACCATACTTGTCGACTCCTCTAACTTCGGCTGCTTACGTAGCCCCCTCGGCAGCTGTTATCGCAGCCCCGGCGGCCGTATCCGCTGCCGTTCCGGCTGCCGTCCCTGCAGCCGTGCCTGCCGCAGTTCCAGCGGCCTACCCCTACTCTAGTGTATCAGCGTATTCCTACGGTTCATCATATAGCGTCCAAGATTACGCGCCAACTCTAGTCAACTCCGCCGCACCACTGGCGTACAGCCTTCCTTATGCATACGCTGCTGACTATTTCTACCGCCGATAATCGTATACAATTTCGTGTTGTGTTCATATCAAATAATGGATACATATCTCTTAATATGCCTTATTGTGTTGATAATGTAACTGTAATATTTATTGGACGAAATAAATAAAAATATTTTTTCCAAAATAATTTTGTCATTTAAAATTCTGTCAGTGAAACGGTCAGTAAGTCCAAAGACCAATCTAAGTCTCTAATAAGACTAAGGATTCTGATACATAATATCTACAAAAACAAAAAACGATAGTTATCGCTTTCGATATCGTTTGCCCTTCTTACCGCTTTTCATATTGAATAAATGAATAAATGAAATTTATTGCTAAAAATGTAGTACAATCAAATGTTATGATAATATAACAATAGTTGGTTTCACACAATATTTATTATTTTACACATATTACGTAATATGGGGGTAAGAATAAAAAATAATAAAGGCAGTCATTCAAAGATCTCTTGTTTTTTGTTTCTTTTTAAGTGATGAGCCGTATGGTTTCGGAAAAGAATGGGCATCCCCTTCCTTTCCCGTGGGTATTGTAAAAGACGACTAAAGGATATTAATGGTCGAGATATGGACAGTACTGTTCTCCTTATAAGATCACCAAAGCTTAACTGCGATTGGCAACCCGCCTGCCAAGCTTGGCAACTTCTGGGAAAACCCCCCAAAGGGAAGGCCTATGTTTAGCAGTGGTTAGGTAACGGCTGACATGATAATAATATACGAGTAATATGGTAACTTTTACACTCCATGCTTGTTTCTCTATTAACCTAATATATAATCCCATATTAAATAGGCTTTACGCAAATAATCTACGTATAATAGTTTCTAAATACAAAAGAACTGTCAATTTCTATATACCTTTTTAACTTCGCTTAAAAAATATTATTATTGAATGCTTACATTATATCATGCAAATTACTGATTATTTAAATAGAATCACGTAAATTAGTATATTCGTCAGAATGTAATAGATACTGTTTTATAAAAAGCTAAAACTAGATCCATTTATCATTCTGGCTCCATATCTCATTAATAATTTACATATAATTTTTATACCAATCAAAACGCTGAATAGAAGAAACCCATGATATATTTAAATAAAAAATGTAACAAATGTCATTTTTTAAACATCACAGACTTAGACTGAAGAGTATAACGTATTTGCATAAATAGGTACTTATTGGTAAATGAGATTTTTCATAAAAGCGCACCAAATAATAGACTGGGGTCTGTGGAATACTGAGAGCGAGTAACTGACGATTATTACATTATAAAAATAACCAAAAAATGTCATCGTAATGCAGCGTAAAATAAAGCGTAGTTATTGGCAATATGCTTAGCATAATCATGGGCTCAAATGAATAAATGAATAAATACTCTAAATAATCTCAAAGAGTTTTCAGATATCTCACAAATTACTTAGACCAGTTTTGGTAAATTAATCGACCTCAAGAATACTAGCACTTTTCAGTATATGTTTAAATTTTTTATTTTATTAATCGAAAACTAAAATTTTTATTCGTTGTATCATACCATTTAATCTTTGTTGAAAAGAATTAACCAGTTAACTGTATTTCTCTTTGACCAAAATTGATAAATTTGTAATTTTATATAAATACATTTTTGCAACTTTACGCGCGTGATTTAAAAAAAACTCTTATATTTCAGGATTGTATTATTTCATTATAGTTTGTCTGTGTACTAAATATCATTTAAATCGATTAAGCTATTTATATGTAATTGAGTAACAAATATCTAAATATCCGTACGTATTTAAAAACTTTTCTATTCACTATATTACTTTGTAATGTTTATTTTCACTATTTTAAGTTTGACGAGTTTGTATACTTAGTGACAAAATCATAATGAAGACATTTGCCACACTAGCAAAGTCAACGAAGTCACCGACACAGCTCTTAGAATTTATAATAATAATGTGTCAGACATTCATTACGACTCTCGTTGATAATAAACGTATTTTAAAGAAATCCGGTTTCGTGAATAGTAAGTAGTTTGGGGCAAACGTAACGTATAAATAATAGGAGAGAGTTATATATCTAATTATAATCTATGTATCTAATGTGTAAAATTATTTAAATCAATCTATTATTAAGATAATCATTTAAAAAAAAGAAGAATTATGTCGAATAATAGTGATATATTCTTATACAGGTTTTTTGTGGATATTTAAAAGATTTGATGCTTTTACTAAAAAAATCGCCAATTCTATATGGCATAGTACAATAAATAGTATATAAACAAACATATGTACTTTGCTTACTAAAAAGCGAGTGGTACTATCTTAGGTGGTATAAAAATTTTCTTAATATATTTTACAAATAGGTATAGTAATATTCGAATACCTAATATAACATTACAATTTTTATTTTACATTTAGTATCTTAGAATTCTATTTTAAAGGATCACTCATACAACATATATTTGTCTTTCTTCCACAATTTTTATATTAAAAAATTCAAATTTGCTTTATTTTATTTAGTTTACTCATTATAAGTAACATCTCAGTTGTTTAAACATTGTTTGTTAATTAGAAGTCGTTTTGTGACCTTGTTATTATAATAATATCCTTTAGATCAATATGAATGATAACTGATTTATCTAATGAGTGATATCTTGCCCTTGATATATATATATATATGTATTGACATACAATTAAGTACGTACCTAAACAGGCTTGTATACTATCGTACCACTTCCGCGTGGCACCTACAAGAACCATACTTTGATTATTCAACGACATTAAAATAAAACAAATAATTATGCAGCATGAACTATATTATCATTTGGCAAATCGGTATCATATTTCTAGCAATTTTCAATTGTGTGATAGGTTAACGAACATAGTATCCGGAGTACGCGTATGGGACAGCGGCGTATGGAGCGGAATATGCAACAGGAGAATATCCGGAGTAACCGACTGGTAGTACGCCGGGTGCGGAGTAAGTCAGCACTTGAGGCTCAGGCTTGGGGCTGGCGAAAGCAACAGCCACCAGAGCGAAGAGGGCAAACTGAAACAAAATATTATACTTTTAAAAATCGATTAGAAATCACATAGGTCTCTTTCCTTCCTGTTAGAGAAGTCTCGCCTTGTCTAGTATGCTGGCTAGACCTTGCGTTTTTCTTTTTCTTGTGTTACATTTTGTCGCCTCTTTTGTTACCCTAGGGATGAGATGGAGTTATGACACATGAAATTCGTATTCTGTCACCACATGAAGACAAAAATGACATTCATTTAAATTTAGAAATTTAAATTGAATATGAAAATCATACTTGTTTCCTTTTTTTACTAATATTAACTCCTTAAGAATTCAACTCATAGTCACGTATTTGAGATGTTACTTTTGCCACAGACAAAGTTAGTAAGTTTTCTATTAGATTATTTGATTGAAAAAAAAAAAAAAAATTGTAATTTTTTTTCTTGGAACACCGACGATATTGATGATTTTTAATGAAATTCGTATTTGATACAATTTAAACAAATTAAATAACATCTGCTGAAAAGCAAAGCTTCAAATAGAGTTTGTTTGCCTTGTTTATTTCATTCAGGGCAAATAATCGAGTTTTTATGTCGAAAAAGAAATTCTATTAAACGTTATTGTAAAGAAATAAAGTCAAATCAAGCACATTAAAGCCTGTCTATAAGAAAAAGTCAATGACCCGATATCAATTTGGAGCCCTGTTTTAAGTTTCTTTGATATTTATAAATATTATAATTTGCTGCGTAAATTGCAAATTTATTTTGTAAACAACTTAATTATCATCATTACTAATATAATAAAAATGAAAGGGCGTTTGTTTTTTTACTTATTTGTGACCTCTTAGCCGAACTGAAATTTTGGCATGGAGATAGTATATAACCGTGTTTGTTCCAAGTTAAAGAAAATCTGAAAAAAATAATGTCCAGTTCATACAGACAAAATGACTCAATTGCAATTTAAAAAGATAAAAATAAAAGGCTGAAAGTGTTTTTTTTTAAAGTAATCTATAAATATTGGTAGTCATATTCTCAGTCAAAAATATTACAATTATAATCTCTGATGGGGTGACTAAAGGCATATATTATTTATTGACTATTGTCTTTGCAGTGATCAGAACGCTTGATATGGGTACATTTAGAAATAAGCCTATATCGCCTTCTTTCAGACTAATTTGATTTAATAAAGATATTCAAATTAGATTTGATTCGCATTTTTTTCTCTTTTTTATACTGTGATACTCGTGACCTTTGGGGTCTAAATTAGGGTGGGAAATTGCTAGGCCGTAACGCTCTCGGTCACAACATATATTTATAAAAACACCTTTCATACGCGACGAAATAAAAGGGTCAGAGAAGCATCACGGCTAAATGTCAACAGCAATCATCATTCAACTGTGAACGTCCTCTTACGACTGACTTCGCCTGTCCTTGTTACTGTGATCAAAAGGTGTATAAAGCTAGACATGATGCTTTTTCAAGGGCTTAAGTTACTCAGAGACTTTATTAGATACTGTGTAAAAAAGATACGGATCAATGGGCATTTACATACCCTAATAAAGAAATATAAAGCTAATAAAAAAATATAATAATGTCTTTTAAAAAAGTATCTTATTCAAATTCTATTCTTGGCTTCGATTCGATTTTCCGATTTAAGGAAACAATAAAATGGTAAATTTATTGTCGTCGGGAAGACAAATCGAATAAGTAGATATATTTGTATTCTAAAATTTATAGAGTGCACTTAGACAATCGTTTTTCTTTGTAGTCATGCACTAGAATAATAACGTATCAAAACAACAGTCACGCACCAACATTGCCTTTGCGTTGGCGGGTAGAGAATAATGGACAACTTAAAATTTATTTTCTTCGCACTCTGCCGTTGACCGCATGATTATAAGTGAGTTCACATTTATATATTTTAGTCAAGACTATTGAAAGAAATGGTTTGAGTGCTTTAGTATAGTGTATTAGTATAGTAAATAAGCAACAAAATTGTAAGAAAAATGACATAAGCCCTTAAAATGTTTATGTCATTATCATCATATCAGCCTTTTGTTTCGGTTTGAAGGGTGGGATTTAACTGGCCATTGCTGAACATACGGTTACCACTTTCCTTCAGCTTGTTTGCCATTCCTTTAACTGGCCATTGCTGAACATAAACCTTCCCCTTGTTTTTGCAAAGGCAAATTAACAACCGTAGTGTCAGGATAAGAGATGTTTAAGAGGGATACTGCTGCCCATTTCTCGCCCTCACTTAGTCGGCTCTTATGAAACACACGGGAAAGGAAGGGGTGGTCTATTCTATGCCGGGACCTTCCTTTAATATTTCTATGTAATTTAAATTAATATTTATTATTACTCAATTTAAGCACCATTATTTTTAAGACATCGTAATAAAATATCGTAAAATAATACAAAAGAATCCTTATTCTTTGAAGTGTGATATCGTCTGTCTGGCACTGTGCTGTATCTAAACAGCTTTTAATTTTATTTCGATTCATGCGTATGGTATGCAATATTTTCTTCAATTCCGCACTTATTTCTTACTTTTTGTAATCGAAATATATACTCCCGTTTCTCTCTGTTTCGCAAAACTGGCAGGCTTATTTATTATCATAATATTATAGAATAATTTAGCCCAAAAAAATAAATAGAATCTACTTTTATCCTCAGTAAAAAAAAATAACTTCAGCAAAAAGTTATAAAATATTTTTTAAGCAACAACTCACCAGTCTGAAGAACATGGTTGAAGTTTTACTTTGAGTTACTAACACAAGTAATAAATTTCAAAACTCGGACATGTCTTATATACAAAATGAGCCCAACCACGCCCAAACTACTTTGTCTCGTAATGCAACAAAAAGCCGTCCTTGATCTTCAAAATAATAAATGTATTCAATGTACGTACATACTCACATATCAAGTACCTAATCAACATCCGTATTAGGCGTCACCCATCATTATAGGTCCACTGAACAAGACTGCACCTGATATTGAAGACCTTAATTATATAGTAACAAGTAAGCAATTACTTTAATAAAATATTCGTAATGGCAATAATAATAAAAAAATTAGGGTTCCTTATCGAATAATTATACCTTTATATTCCTAACTAAAAGTTTTAAATATACAACGTATATCGAACGGGTTTCTACCAAACATACATATTGTATTAGTAGTACCCGTACTATTACGAGTAGGTACTGCCAGTCATATCACACAGCATTATAAAGTCCCAAGCAAAACAAAACATGTACTAAGAGTTCGAAATAATTGATTGAAATAATAAATTATTTAAATATATATTTATGCATACAAGTATTTCTATACTACGGAAATGCCGTAACAATGAGACAATGTATTAAACCCACCAACCAACCACCGAGGTTTATTATATGATGTCCATAGAGCTGTTCATGTGGTAGGCGTCACCCAGAGTGGTGCCGTTACCAGTTACCATCAGGCACGCCGTCCGATTGATTGCCATAGGCATATATTTAATAATCATGTTTTTAAACATGATTATTGTCCAAATACTTTGAAATACTTACTTTTTTTCAAACTTTAAATTAAATAAAAATGTGAATGAGACCCTCTCACTCACATTTTTATTTAATTTAAAGTGAGTATTTATATATAAAAATAGTATTTTTATATAAACATATAAAATATATAAACATTTATATATATACATGCGGCCTTTATTTGAAATTTACTTCTAGTACGAGTATATCCAATTTCATAACGATTAATTGAGACGTTAATTCACCAAGAGATAATAAACAACGAAAAAACTCACTAGAAAATTAATACTATATAAATACTAACACAATTAGATTTATTATTATAAAAAATATGCCAATCTTTTTTTATTTAATATTCAATGGACTGACATGCTGGAAATTTCCAATACGCCACTTGTACCTTACCAAATCGTGTAGGTACATTTAACTCTTACTAGGTGTAACATTTCTTAATAGTAATTGGACTATAAAGAAAAACAAAATGTATGTCAAAACATGTATAATATAATTTTAAAATAACATTACAATTATCACCGATTTTGGCAGCAGAAATAAATGAATACAAAAGTATATAGAGTTGTTAAAGCATCTATACATAAATTTTTGGGCATTACTTCGAGAAGTGTCGAGATCATGTTTGAATCAATAGTATCCATATCCATAACTGTATGGAGATGCGTAAGAGCCATATCCCGAGTAAGTGGCAGGATTCGAATAGCCGGAGTATCCATAGTATCCAGGAGAACCGGCTCCATAGCCACTATATCCGTAGCTTGGATAGTACTGCGGTCTGGCCATAGCTAGTGCGAAGAGTGCAAATAGAAGTACCTGAAAAAAATAAATTATGACATTATTTTGATTTTCATGGATGTCCATTATATGCATAACTGACAGATTCAACAGAATCTACTGTCGAAATAATTTTCGGGTGTATTCCGATAATGTTGCTCCTAACGAAAATAAACGACAAAGGAAAAGGATAAACAGATAGGTTTTCTTTTAACTCATACCCGCATCTTATTAGTTACGTCACGACCATGATAACTGGGTAGAAAAATCCAACGCACTTAAATAAACAATTAATCACTGTAAGAATTTACGTCAGTTACGCATATCATTTATAGTAAATTATAATCAAACAGCTATCTCAGTACTAAGCTCGGGCATATTGATGATAGGCTAATCGAGGAGTAAAGGTGTCAAAAAGTATCAAACAAACTAACATTCATATTAACAGTATTAATAACGATGTTTATCACCATCATATCAGTCTTTGTCTTTAACTAGCCTCCCCCTTGGGGGGTTTCACCAGTAGTTACCACGCTTAGCAGGCGGATTGACAACCGCAGTTAGTCTTTAGAGATGTTTTAAGAGGGACACTGCTGCCCATTCCTCGCCCTCCCTTAGTCGATTCTTACGATACCCACAGGAAAGGAAAGAGTGGCCTATTCTATGCCGGAACCATATGACAAATAATGATGTTAACAAGTGATATTTAATCCTATAATTTGTTTATGTGTTATTGGTAATGATAATTTTCTAGTATACACGTTTTAATAATTTCTGTCTTCAACTGTCATTATTATCCCAGTGTTTATTAGCTCTTTAAAACAGAAAATAAAAATAAAACTTACACTCAACATATGGCTGTTGTTTCTGCCTATAATCCTCGTCTTTTTTTGTTCTGGGCCATTATTACAAAGCTATGATTTATGACTAAGAATCATCAAATATTCCGAGAGTTGACTAATAAAGTATATCAAATTTGCCATCACTACTTAATATAAACTATTATTATATTAAGTACTGACTGCAAATAAAACAAAAATAATAATAAAAAAAAAACTTTAATCAATACATATAATAAAAACGTAACTAGTCGTTGTCTGTGCATGGAAAATATAAAAAAAAAACTACTATAAAGGGGCTTTATGAACGCTGTTTCTTTGTTTTCTGTATGTATGTATGTCTGTTTGTCTATATTGATATGAATGCAGTTTTGACTATTGCGTTGCGGTTTTCTCCACTTAACATTTAGTGTTCGTTTTATTTCAATCGATTCATAACTAAAAAAATTACATCAGTCTAAATAATCACATATAAAATGCTGTAAAATAACCGATCAGTAATTGGTAGATTTTTTTTTTATTATATGTATTGATTTTTGAAAATTCAGTCCACTTGTGCGAAGCTGAATCGGATCGCTAGTGTCAGATAAAAATAATATTTTCTTTCATTAAGACCGTGAGTACAGCCAAGCAAACATTTGGTTTTACACAACATTGCAATACGTATAAGTTTTGTATACTCTCAAGTTTTTTTCTCTCTCTCTCTTTCCAATATCAATTGGAGTACTCGAACTAAAGGTAACATTTGTTTATTTAAAATTTGTAAACTATGACAAAGTGATGTTTAAATTAATCCTATTTGTATATTGACTGTACTACGCCTACTGCTCTCAATTATAATTAATTATCTATAGAATCAATTCATGGGCCTTACCTAGCAAATAAAAAATAATCATCAAATCGACCTTTAAGTCTGATAGAAGTGGTACTTATATGAATAAAAAAAATATAAACTGAAAGTCTTATGTGTATTTATAACGTTTTTTTTTTTCGATAAAAAATAAAGAGCAATAATTTAAAAATAAAATACAATTCATTTAGAACAAAAAAGATATATGAACAATCTAATAATACTCAACAAAAAGTAAACCTCGTATTAATTAAACAGGAAAGTAAATATGTACCAAAATCCAAATCCGATTTTCTCCATGTATCCCACATAGAAACAGTCTATTTTACATTTTCGTCTTTACGTAATTTTGAGCATTAAAATTGAAAGAAAACTGTATGATTATGATTGTTTTCGTATAAAATTTTTAAATATTGTCTATAGTTTGGGATCGCATATATATATATATATATATATATATATATATATATATATATATATATATATATATATATATATATATAGATTTAATTAATGTAGCATAAGTTCTAATAAGTATGACAATTTTAATCTTAAACAGCTTAAAGAGATAGACTTCATGTGAATGTCAATTTAGAGTTTCTAGTTATGATTGTCTGCAGTAAAGGTAAGTAAAAAAAATATAAACTGAAAGTCTTATGTGTATTTATAACGTTTTTTTTTTTCGATAAAAAATAAAGAGCAATAATTTAAAAATAAAATACAATTCATTTAGAACAAAAAAGATATATGAACAATCTAATAATACTCAACAAAAAGTAAACCTCGTATTAATTAAACAGGAAAGTAAATATGTACCAAAATCCAAATCCGATTTTCTCCATGTATCCCACATAGAAACAGTCTATTTTACATTTTCGTCTTTACGTAATTTTGAGCATTAAAATTGAAAGAAAACTGTATGATTATGATTGTTTTCGTATAAAATTTTTAAATATTGTCTATAGTTTGGGATCGCATATATATATATATATATATATATATATATATATATATATATATATATATATATATATATATATATATATATATATATATATATATATATATATATATATATATAGATTTAATTAATGTAGCATAAGTTCTAATAAGTATGACAATTTTAATCTTAAACAGCTTAAAGAGATAGACTTCATGTGAATGTCAATTTAGAGTTTCTAGTTATGATTGTCTGCAGTACTATTAGTATTTGTGTAAGGGTGGTATCCTCTAATGATAAAAAATTATCTTTAAAAAATATTTTTAAAATTGTCAATAATAACATTTATTTTTATTTACTATTTTAAAAACACTTTGTAAATAATTCAAATGGGGTATACTATCAACACATAGATTTTAACATCACCATTAATTGTAGCTTTGCCACTATTAGTTTTCATAAAGATTAAAGACCTACATCTCAATCTATATCTAAGATCGGAACTAGCTCAAAATTATTTATCTTGCATCATTAAATATGCAATGATGCAAGAAAACCTTAAAATATAGAACACCCTGAAATTTAAAGTATAGTATTTTTTTAGAATCTATTAAAATAATTCTAAGTTAAATAAACCAAACTTAATATGCATTAATTACAAACGATAAAGTACTTTGATATAATAAATGTATGTAGGTTAAAACTGTAAAAAACTCAAATGAATATTTATAATACTTGCCCTTTTAAAATAATTTCAACTTTTAACTGAATAAACGTAATGAAAATATTAAAAAAAAATATGAGCTACTTACCAATTTCGCAAACATTTTGATAATACACAATTGTTTGTATAAATTCCTATATTTTCTGTTACACTGTCCTTAGTTTTGGAATCAAACTGGTTAATTTTTATTATTCCCTCAATATTTATAGTGGTGCCTGTCCTTGGATTCTTTAGAACAATAACGGAATACGTAATAATGTCAGTTGGGAATCCATGTATATTATGATCATATGCTAACGCACTGGATACGCGTCCAACATCAGCAATTAGGTTGCCTTTGTTTATATTCAAAATGATATTGCATATTAAGCAAAGACTTCCATTATGTTTCATATCATCTGCTTTTGTGTTATTATTTGTTTTTACATATGGTTTTGTATCATTAGTTATATGGGTAAAATTAAGTTAACACCGTATCTATTCAAATCCACAAAAGCTTTCCAACAGTCCGTTTAAAAATAATTATATTTTAATGTTTCCAATTTCCACATATGTACTAAGTGTGTTAGACAAGAGTCTAACATTTAAGGTGTGCTTAATTATCTAATATATATATTCTAAATAAAATTAGAAAATTTTTTTATCAGTTAGAATATTGTTTATAAATTTATACGTAGTTAAAATTAAAATCAGTTTATATTATCTAAATAATTATTGTTTAGTTGCAACTTAATTCATATTAATTTAAAAATAGAATTATATATATATATATATATATAAAATATTATAATTATATTTTTATACGCATCTCGTAAATAAATAAATAACATAAATTGAAATAAGAAACTCGTGTTGAATTGGAATCTGAAAAAACTAGATTTTTGAAAGTTTCACATAAACCGCGCGATCACAATGATCCATTATCTCTAGCCATGCCATATACACTTCTCATATTTTTCCACTTACACATCA